GCAAACAATGAATCATGGAACACTACATCAAAAACTAATGATGTAATGTATGGTGATTAACATAACAATAAAAAATTTAAAGGAAAAAAACCTAATGATATAATGTATGGTGATTAACATAACATAATAAAATAAAAAAAATAAAGATATTTAGTGGATTTTTTTTCTTTTGTTATCAGCTTGTCTAGTTCCTTTGGATTTTCCCCCTCCTTGTTAATCACTCCCCCCACTTTTTTTATTTGGAGGCTTTCATTTTACCAAGTGTTTAGTGATACCAGGCTTTCATTTACGGGTGTTGATTTTTTGGCTGGTGGTCTTCATTGAACTCTCATTAAGTGCTTTAGCCAAACTTTAAGAGAGTATTTTAATTGTTAGTATTTGAAGAAAAAATTCTGGTAAAATTATTGCCTGCAGTAACATGGAAGACAGAAAATGTACCTAATGCACGCATGGCATTGGATGAGATTTTAAGACAGAATTTTGAAAAAATAAGCTGGCTGCTATTAGCTGTAATTGATAAAGTACTTACTCTAAGAAAGAAACAAGCTCAAAAATGAGGTAGGCAAGCAAATAGAATTGAAATGGAATACAGAGCCTAGGTGGGCAGGGTTGGAAAATGAAATGTCTTTCACCAAATCAAATGTGTGATAGTTAAACGTAGCTTTAGGACAAAGACAAAATCCAGAATATTGCCATTACCATAGACTCAAGAAAAAGACCCAATAAAGAGTATAACAATATACTCCTTCTTTTAAGGCCTCTGAAGGGATGAAACGGATGCCTTCCCCTTGAACTAAAGAGCTACCTCAAAGATTAAGGGATTAACTGATTAAAAGTAAAAAGAATGATATGCTCGAGATATACAGGTCTACAAACTAAGTCATGAGCACTTGGAACATCTCAGGCTGAACTAGTGACAGTTTCTCCAATCCTTTTCTGCTACAGTCTTCCAGATCTTTACTCATAGGACTCATATTAAACCTCTTTATTCATGTAATACTTGTAATGAATCTGCTTTCCTCACCAAATTCTAACACATATGGCTGCCCTAGAAAGAGAGCCTAAGGCAAAAATTGAATATATTACTTTATTAGAAAGGGCAATCCATGCTGGTGAAAGTGAGGAAGAAAGGCTAGCAAGGATGAAAAGCAAATGCAAATTGATAAGTTACTGCATAGCACTTGGTTTCTGTTTCATCAAAAGCCATGATGAGACTGCCACTCACTTGGCAAGTACACTTGCTTAGCTACATGGTATATTTCTGGGCAGGGGAGTGAAAAACTGTGCCTCAAAGCAGTCTATCAGAAAAAAAGAAAGAAATTGATCTGACATCTTCTTCTAGTTCATTGATCCAAGTTTTCCAAACAGTTAACTTCACTGCTCTTCACATACATCACCTAGCCCTACTGACAGTCAGTGGGGAAACTTACTGGCATGATGCTTCCTAGAGAGCAGAAGTGTTGGAATAGGTCTGGGATTCTGAGCATGTGGCTAGTTGACCTCAGGCAGAGGAATCACTGTCACTATCTATGCAGGGTGGTAGCTATGGCAAAGTGAGTGGTTAGTGGCCTGGGGAACAGTGAGGCCCAGAATCTGAGAAGGCACTTGAGGAAGATGTGTCAGATACTGAATCTAAAGACGAGGTTATCTATTGGCACAATAACGCTGTATAATAAACAGCTATAAAACTTCAGTGGCACAATGGACATCCCTTGCTTACACATCTGAAATCAGAAAGGTGTCGGGTGGTTCTGCTGATCCCAGAAGAGATCATTCACATTATCTGGGGGTTGACTGGCTGTCAGCTAATCTAGACAGGATTCAGCTAGAGTAACCAATAACTTGGCTCTGCTCCATGCATGTCTAACCCTCCAGCAGGCTAACCCAAGCATGTAGGTGCTTGTGGCAAAAGCAGAAGCACAAGATTAAGTAAAAATTCACTAGATCTTTGAAAATAAATATGGTCCAGAATCAATGAAAAGGTACTTCAAAGGAGAATGAAAAAGGACAATGAATATAGGGAAAAGTAAAGAATTAGGGACATTTTTACAGTCTATCATACCAAAGAAAAACAATTCATTGTTCTAAAAGGTATTATTATTATTTTCTTTGGAAAAACTTGAGATTTTATCTGGCCTTAGTTATAAATTAGGCTTTTACGAAGTCTGTGGGTCATCGTTTTTATGCCAGCTGTGAGATGGGGGCAAACCCCTCCCTCTTACCTGTTATGTTTAGTTGGTTTGTAGAGCTAGTTAAATGGCAATAGGTTTTTGGCTCAGGGAAGTCCAAATTTAGCCCAGAGAAATCCAACTTTGGCCCTGCTTAAATCAATTTGGGGCTTCCTCTGTTCCCAAGGCCAAGTTCTAAACATGAAGAAATTCATTTTAATTCCATTCTTGTAAAATAAATGCTAAATAGGCAAGCCAGTTGATTTGGCTAAGACTATGGGACTAATAATGTTCAAACCTTATATAATCCCCATTACTGTTTATGAAATAGCATAATAAAATGGTCACTTCACTGAACCAAATCAGAAGTCACAGATGCTAGACCAGATCCTACCACTAACTAGTTGTGTGACCCATGAGCAAGTTACTTAATCTCTTTAGATCTCAGGGGCCTTTATAATCAGGGATTGCTCTAAACTGTAATGTTCCAATTATCCTATATCCACAAGATGTGAGTAGGCATTACTTACTCAAATAAATTTAAGAAATACTAACTTAAAGTTCAAAATGTTTATTTCAAGACTTTCCAGCACTTTTAAGCTGTACCGTTTGGATCTCTAAGAGGGGAATATGATGTGCAGCAAATAAATTTCACCAATGACTCATTTTTTCATAAAACATGTTATGTGTTGCCCTGAATATACTTAGGTAAATGTATCATTACTGCTAGATTGCATTTATCAATCAGGGTCCCAGAAAGAAACAGAGGGACATTGGAGAAGAATATAATAAAATGACTATTTACAAAGGTATAGGCAGGGTGTAGGGAAGCCAATGAGGAGTAATGAACTACTCTGGGGCTAGTTACACCTGGGGGGCTCTTCCCTCCTGTAAAGGAATGGAGCAGGGACCTGAAATTAGAGAGAGTAACCGGGATAACTGCCTGGAAAGCAATGCCTGATAGAATGGTCTCCAGTAGAGGTACACAGCCAATCCATGGTGACCTGGCAGGAAAGGAGCGCAGGAAATAAATAATACAATTTAATTTTCCTTCAACCTCCAAACTCTTAAAAATGCTTTCATCTGTTGAACCTAACCAAAATCCAGAGGGGAAGGGGACCCACCTCACAGAGCAGAGAGCAGAATGGAAAAAGGTGAATCCAAACAGAAGCTATCCGGCACAGTATGGCTCCATTCTTAAGCAGCTAGATTAGGTGATTAAATGATGGCCTCAGGACTCAAGTCTTAGCTGTCCTCTCTGCTTTCCTTTACTGGCTTCATTCTAAGGCAAGTTCCTACCATCTGCAGCACAGATGCCACCAGCAGCTCTCAGGTTATAGCATGGTTAGTCTGCAACTTCAGATAAAATAATCAAAAGAGTAAACACATATACAGCACCTAGTATATGCCGGTGCTGTTGAAAGCTCCTTAGATACATTAACTCAGTTAATCCTCATAATAATTTTGTAAGGGAGCTACCGTACTAACATCTCTCTAGAAATGAAGAAACTGACACATGACTGGAAAGTGGAAAAGGATAAGCTGAGATTTACATTCAGGTAGTTAGCTCTAGAGTCTGTGCTTTTAACTACTGCATCATATCGCTTTTTGTAAAGTAAACCTTATCTCCTACAGCATTCATATTACTTAACAAAAAGGATGTTGGGTCATGTGCTCATCCTTGGATCAATCACTGGGCATTTTGCTTGCTAAACGGTCACATGTCCACATGACTGCCAGCAATTTCTCCCTAAAAAAAGATGTCAGGCAAATGTAAAAAGCAACAGATGTCCATCACAGGCAGTATGGACTTAAAATAGCCCCAGGGACTGAAGCCACAATTCCAGTTTTGCCCGTGTTTGCCACAAATCTGCAGCGAATTATTTATGACTTCATTTTCAGCAAGGAGATTCTGACCCCTCCTACCTCCAAATGTGGTAGTGGGTGCAGAAGCAAAAATATGAAGATCCCCAAACAAATATCTAATTATATCTAATTACATAGATATAAATATATTAAAATACAGTAATAAAATTTAGATATGCCAAACTTAAGCAAATAGCTTCTGAAATGAGTTTTTCAGTCAACGCTGTCTCTGAAAATTCCTTTAGAAATAATTCCCTTTAAAAAAATGAGATAAATGAATGAAATCTTATTTTTTCAAGTGGTCTTACAGACACTATACATTAATATTTCGTAAGAATAAACAAAGCACAATTATAGGTTTATTGATTTTTAGCAAAATAAAATGACATAAGTAGCTTCTTTAAAAACTAATGGATAAGTTTTCTTGTTTCCTTGTCTCCAGAGCATTTGGCATTCTTTATCAACTGGTACATAAAAGAGTAGAAAAATAAGAGATTGTCATATTGTCCTTGGTATTTCTCTTTTAATATATCAGTATGGTAGTCTACCAGAAAATAGTAAATGGCTTCAATTGTGGAAAGGAAGGTATCCGGCTTTCCTTTTTGATGGCGCCAAAAGCAAGTTTTTCTTGTTTTCAACTCAACTTGTAACAACCCTGCCAAAAACAAATAAAAAAAAGGATCAATATTTCTTCTTAACCACAGAGTCTGGCATAATGATAATTTCTCTTAATTATTTTAAGAATTAAAAAAAAGGATTCTTTTAAGAGTACAGATGAGTTCCTTCAATCCCAATTCCAAATAGAGTATTTTCTTAAATGCATTAAGGTATATACAGAAGCAATACAAAACACAGAACAAAATCTTAAATATGACAGTTACTTATCTATAAATCTTAGAACTTGCAACCACGAGTTAAAAGTAGTTAACAATTAAGATGTTCACCTCTTCTATCTTCTATTCACCAGTATCTTTATTTTAACCAGGGACAGGACTAAATTCACCAATATTCAGAAGGGTTACATTTCCTTGATGACCTGACATTTAAAACATCATTGTAAAACTCACGGAAAGAGACAGGCAGATTAATGGCTCTTAATATGGTTAAAAGTTTATTTCTGGACTATCACTTTTTGGCTATATCTTCATGAACAGAGTACCTAGAGTTGTTTCCTTAGCTCTGCCACATTTGTTGAGTGAGACCTCAAGGACACAGTCAGCTAGAATGCCTTACTCCTGTGCATTTAAAGAGGAAATTATTCATGAAATCACAGAATAGTACTCTCATTTCTTAAAACTCAGATGTTAACATACAAACCCAAAATGCTTTTAGTGCCTTAGGCCAGTACTTAGGCTCACATTGTATTTATTTTGCTATACTTTTTTAAAAAGTATATTGATTTTAAAGTAATAAATAAAAGGGAGAAGATAGTATTAAAATTAGCCTCTTTACTAAGAGTTGGAACCTCTGAGTTATCAATGATCTCCTACTATCACACCTCTCCTTAACCTAAAACCTACTTCAGAAATGCAGCAGAGGGACAAGAAATAAATACTATAAAAAATTAAGATTTTAAGATATAAGGAGGATCTAATGTCTAATAGGACTCCCAAGGAAAGAGAACAAAGAGAATGGAGAAGAGTTAGCACATAAAGAGATAATGCCTATGACTTTTCCAGAGACTGTTTTTAAAAATGCAAAGTCACAGATACATGAAATAATGTATCTCAAGCAGAATAAATACAAAGAAATTAGTGCCTAGATCTATCACACCATAGTGAAACTCCAAAAGAGCAGGAATAAAGAGATCTTTAAAGCAGCCATTAAGGGACACCTGGGTGGCTCAGTCCATTAAGCATCTGCCTTTGGCTCAGGTCATGATCTTGGAGTCCCAGGATCGAGCCCACATTGGGCTCCCTGTTCGGCAGGGAGTCTGCTTCACCCTCTGCCCCTTACCCTGCTTGTGCTTTCTCTCTCTCTCAAATAAATAAATAAAATCTTAAAAAAAAAATAGCCATTAAGAAGAGGCAGATCATATATAAAAGAATGGTAATCAGAATGACAGGAGACTTTTCATTAGCAACAGTAGAGTATTGAAGACTATGGAATAACATCTCCAAAGTGTTAAAAAAAAAAAAAAAACCTAACAACCTAAAATTGTGTACCCAGCAGAACCATATATTAAGAACAGAAGTGAAAACATAGTAGAGAAACAAAAATTGAACATATGCCAACAGGAAACCAAATAAAAGGAATTTCTAAGGAATATATTTCAGTCTGGGTTAAAAGAATAGTGAGCAAAGAAAACAATAAACATCTATGTAAATCCAAATAAACGCTGCCTGAATGAAACAAAAAACAATAACAATATCTAATTTGTGGGCTGAAGATAAAGGACAGAACAAAAATAATGAAGAAAATAACAGTAACTTGCTGAACTAGGAGGGAGCTGAATCAAACTTAAGTGTAGTAAATCCTTAGAGTGTTCAAAGGAGAGGTAAAAATACTGACTTTCAATTCTTCTAAGTCACAAGTGCACAGTCCAGTTTTCTAAAAGAACCAAAATAGGAATATTAAAAAATGAAATAAGAAAAAATAAAAGCTCGATCAAAGAAAAGTCAAGAAAAAAAGTAAAAAAACAGGACAAACAGAAATAAAATTTTAGATGGTAGAAATATTTCCAAAAATATCAATACTCATAGCAAATGTGACTAAATGAAACCTGCCATGTAAAAAAAGACAGAGATTCTCAGATTGAAACACAAGGATGACCTCTACAGGGCTTCTGCTCAATGTACTGGAGGTCTTAGCTGACATAGCAATAAAAACAATAAATTAATTAGATGTATAATAACTGAAAAGGAAGAAACACAACTGACTTTAAAATACTTTTAAAATCTATAAACAAATTTTTAAAAACATATTATCTTAGGGTAGAGAGGATTTAAACAAGACACAAAAAGTGTTCAACATGAAAGATTGATAAATTCCACATGAAGAACTTCTGTTCCTCAAGATACAATAAAGAAATTTAAAAGATGAGTCATTAACTGCAAGAAGATATTTCAAAACATTACTATCTATATTCTAGTAGATATAAAGAATTCCTACAAAAATCAATTAAAAAAACACTAGAAAAATGCACATAGGTATTTCACAGAATAGGACATATGTGACCAAATAAGTGAAGAAAATGATGCTCAATCCAATTATTAATTAAGGAAAGGCAAATTATGATCACAATTAGACCCCACTTTATATCCACTATATTGGCAAAAATCAAACATTTGACAATACCAAGGTAGGAGGCATCACGGATCAATGGGGACTCTTACACATTAATGACGGGTGTGTAAGTTTATATACCCATACTTTGGAAGACAATTGGCATTATCTTGTAGAAGTGAGCATTCTCCAACAATTCCACGTCTAGGTATGTTTCCTTAAGGAACCTTGTACCTGCATAAAAATGTTCGTAGGTGCACTATTTTTAAGTGCAAAAACTAGTTAACTCAAGTGTTTCATAAACAGGAGACTGGATAAATTGTAGTATATTCACAGTCAGATAATATACAGCAGTGAAAATGAATAAACTATAGCTAATCATATAACAACATGGACAAACCTTAGAAATAAAATGGTGACTTTAGATTTTAGGTCCCCAGGAATACAACATGCAGGTCAAAATAAAGAAAACTAAGTAATAAAAAGATTATGAAAATAGATGTATTTAATAAAACACAAAAGAATGATAAAAACATAATTCAGGAGAACAGTTAACTCTGTTGGTGGGGGAGAAGTAGAGTGGCAGAGGCGAGAACATTGGTAGATAAAAGTTACCAACACAATTCTGGTGCTTGGCTTATTTATTATCTCACTATGTGCTATAACATTATATTATATATATTCTTTCACATGTATCATAATTTAGTTTAAAAAGTAATATAAAAAACACCTTTGCCTATTTATGGCAGAACTGGAGCTGGCCCTATTCTTTCCATTAGGCTTACAACATAAATCTAATCATGTCAATGTCTGGCATTAAATTCTCTAATACTGCCACAGCACCTGTGGAAAAAAAGACCAAATTCTCAGGCATAATATTCAAGGGCATTTATAATTTGTATTTCTTCAGTTGCTTCTCCTACCATTCTCATGTATGTACGCATTCTACACCATATTCAATTTTTTCAGTCTCTTGAATGCAAAATGATGTTTTGTATTTTTGTGTATATATCATTCCCTTTGTCTGAAATGCCCAACCCTCAGCCCTTTATCCATCAAGATTTCAACAGAAACAGTTAATACATCCAGGGACTCTGGGTAGAGCAGGGTTGTGTCTCCTCAATGCTACCACTGTATCCAAAACTTACTGAATTTTCTTACCTGCTTACCTGCCTGCCTCCCACAACAGATTACATGGCAGACAATGTCCACTGTCTTCTCAATATTCATTTTCCCCTTCTCTCAATACTAACAATCTCAATACTGTTCAGTGTGGCACATGTCCAGCTAAAAACAATTTCCCAGCTTTATTTGTAGCCAGAGTGGTCAGGGGAACCATTCTGGCCAAAGAAAGGAAAACTGCAATCTCCTAGGTGGAAATTCCAAGAAAGCTATTATTATTATTATACTTATTTTTTAATGAAAGAGCCAGACTCAGTGGGCATATACATATTGCCGTTTGTCCTTTGTCTTGCCTGCAATATATATGGGATGTCTCGGGACCTAGCGGCTATCTTACAAGTATGAGGGTGAAAGCGATGGAGGAAGAAAACAGAATGAGTCTGAGTTCTCACAGGCATTGTGAAGTCTTTGCAACAGCTTTGGACTACCCATTTCTGGACTTGAACCTGTAAAAAGTAAACCCACTATTTCTTTTCATATTCTATCTGGGTTTTTATTTCAGGTGGTGAAACACAACCCTAACTAACAGCCATTGTGATCAACTGGATGGTAGAGATATTGCTTTATTCTCGTTCATATCCCCTAGTCTAGGACACCACCTGTCCAGGAACAGGTGTTCAACAAATATTTCTGAATAAATGGACAAATCACAAAAGCTTTAAAGTATTCTATCTACGTATTTTGAAAATATTTCAATTTGAATAATTTTGATTCAAAAATACACAAGAGTTGTAACAACCCAAACCAAACCCTTTTGAACTATTTGTATTAATGTTAATTATATCCAAGAAGTAAAGGGAGACGTTTGAAAATGTTCTAAGTAATTAGTATAATTAAAATTTTAACATAGGATTTGACGGCACATGCAATTTCTAAAAAAAAAAAAAAAAAGAGTAACTGTTAAATGGTGTCAGTTTCTAAAACACCTAATATGTTCTAAAATGTTAAAAATAAAAATCAAGATTCAGTGATTATTACCAATAATCCATCCTGCTTTAAAGATTTGCTTGCAAGTATACAGAACCTTTTAAAACACACGGAAATACACAGGCATAGGATTTATTTTTAAAAGTTCAACACATACATTAAAAAAATTCTTTTGCTAGCGTTTCTGGCAATCAATAACTTTATGAGGAATTCAGCAAATTTTTTAGCAGAACTTTAAAGCAGATAATTATAAATGGTTTTCTCTTCAAAATTATTGCCTGAATTTCTTCAACTGAAGAATGAGAATAAAAATCTTAAGCCATTCTCATACTGTTGCTGGGAGGACTGAATGAGGCAGTATATGATACTGCACTCACAGACACACTGAGTATCGTTCAGGCAATACCTTTAATCTGAAAAAAGCAGTCACTTTAAACATTTTATCAATGTAGTCGAAATGAAGGGAGAGAGCTGGCTAATTTTTAAAACAAATTACAATATAATGCCATTTTTATCATTTGGACTGCCTCCCCAACAAAAAGAGACCACCCTTCCCTACCATGTCCTCCCAAGGCTTCCTATAGTCAATCTTCAAGAATGTTATGTCACTCTTCACTTTTTATGATTAATTACACAGTCAATCTTCAAATGTTTTATTTCAACAGCAGTAAAACATTCAGAGCTATTTCTCTGTAAAATGTGGTGAAACAGTATGTTTTCACATTGTTAAGGGGATTCTTAACCTTAGCATTCATAAGATAACAGAAACACAATTTCCAATACATTACATTTGAGGGTTTTATCTGAGGTTTAGAGCTGGTTTGTTTAGCTTAATCCCATCAAATGATAAAATGTTTTAAAACCTAAAGGCAATGATTTATAGCAAACATGGGTTGTTTCTTGAGGAAATAACTTGGTTTATCTGGAAACTGGTATTTCACATATACAGAGGCTATAAATATGTGCAGAGCCCCAAATATTCCCTATGGTGCAATAAGGAGGCAGAAGGGGTAGGGGTTGAAGTAGGACATGCAGAGAACACTGAATTTGTTTATTTCATGATTTTGAAGGAATTAAGAAATCCCTTTTAAAAATTTTCATGTAGCACAGAATTGAAATATATGATACTTACTATGTGATCTGGGAAGGAATAACAGAAATTTTTCCAAATCTGATTTTAAGCCTTAAGCTCAAATATGAACACTCTGAAAACAGATTTTGAATTGTGCCTCAATAATTCCTTTTATAGTTTTTTCTACTGTTCTCACTCATGTTCTTTCATTTGATCCTTTCAATTACCATATATGGTAATTATAAAGAGAGTGGCTCAGAAAAAATCTTCAAACTGAGGAATAAGTTGGTGCTGTAACCATCCAGGGTAATATTGGCAGGTAGTACTCCAAAGAGCAGGGCCTTAGGGTTCCATCTCTCTATTAAACATCAGCAAAAGGTTCTTCCAGGTTTTATGCTCTGTAGTTTCTCTCCCTCTCTCCCACATTCCTCCTCCCCCACTTGTCTCTCTCTCTCTCACACACATACACATACACACACATACACACATTTTCTCTGTCTCTTTCTGCCTATCTTTCTCACATACAAACACACAAACATAAACACGACTAGAATGACAATCTTACTAACAGGTATGTTGACTTCAGAGTATGAACTACGTAAATTAAACTAAGTCTAGTATTGTCACTAACTTTAGTTTGGGATTACTTACCACAAGTTAAACTCCAAAAAGTGTCATAAACTTTTTTTTCTAGGTGAAGTGCATTTTTAACAATAGCCTGAGAAAAGCTCTATTTTGGCAACCGCCTAAAACCAACCAGGTAGCTCTCTTGCCTTCTAATCATACATGGTACACATACAAGGCCATCAAGAGCTAGAAATATATCTAATGTTTTTAGAGAAACTACTGGAAAAGCCTGAAGAACTGAGTAAAGTGCAAGTAAACAAGAGAGGTAACATGAGTTTCTGTTCTTCATATTACTAGTTATGCTACTTGGGCAAGCAAAGCAACTCTTTTAAACCATTTTATTAGGAACTGAACTTTTCACTCTAAGAGAGTACAAAGATAAAACAAAAGAAAATCCCTGTAATGTTAAATCTTGGAATTGGAACTATCCATGTGAACTCATGATATATATATCTATTTTCCTTGGCTCTATTCATTGAAGCAATGACATCCAAGTTGTAATAAATTTACCAGATCTTGGTTTCTAATATCACTCCCCACTAAAAAGAACCACAGCTCCTTTGCATAATTGTTGGTTCTATGTCTGGGGCAGGAAAAAAGTACAAGTGAACTTGGGACATCCTGTTGTACCAGAAAGACTAATGAGGCCATGCCACAGAGGACTTGAAGGGCTCCCATTGGCAAAATTTGAGACAATTTGGACATCAAAAAGAATACAATCACAACATATTACATATGATAAACTAAAAGGAAATCCATAAACCCATAGTGACCTCAAAAAGGGGCAGGAGAAAAGAAAAAGGGGGGGGAGAGGGGAGAAGAGCTCTTTACATAAGAATGCCAGCTAACAAAAAGAAATAATACATTAAAATGTCATCATTTTGCAATCCTCAATGTATTTGCTGATTTAGGCAAATCATCAATAAATACTAAAACCACTCAGTGAAAAGAAGCTGGGAAACAGATAGTTCATAGTCTCAAAGCATCACCCCAAAGATTACTACTAGTTTCAAAGAAGAAATGAACTTTTATAATAGAGAGATCTGGCAATCATCACTTTAATCAAATAATTAAAGTTATTATCAGTAATGAAACTTACACTATATGCCTCCTGATTTGATGCACTAAGTATACAACTTTACCTATGAATAGGGTAATCATAATTTATCAGCTAAACAGCTACATTTCTAAGAGTGAAAGGGAATGCTATTAATAATTATATCAAAACAATAGGTGTAAACTGGAATTGTCATGGACAACCCTAGATTGATCCTAATCTCTAAGTATCCTTACAAAAACACTAAACGGAATCAAATCATGATGAAGCATTCAGACAACTGACCTGCCCTGTTCCACAAGTCTAAGTCACAGAAAACAAAAACCGGGGACTGCTCTACATTAAGAGACTGAAGGGTATAATAACTACATAGAATGTGAGTTTACATGCTGAATCAGAAGAAAGAAGCTACAAAAGGTATTTTTGGATCAATTAGGGAAATGTAAATATGGACTGTATTAGATATTAGAACTTCTGTTAATTTTCCCAGAGTGATAATGGCAATTCGATTATGCAATTATTCTTAAAAGATGTACAGTTAGATATTTAAGGGTGAAGTATTGCAAAGCCTGCAACTTACTTTCAAGTGTTTCAACCAAAAATGTATATAATATCTAAGTACACACATACATATAACAGAGAAATAGAACAAATGTGGCAAAATGTATGGGTATTTGAGGCAATTCTTCCAATATATCAGCATGTTTGAAGTATTTGAAATGAAAGTTGGGGGAAGGAACAATCCACAAAAATTTTATTTTTTTACCTTGAAGTCTCTCATCAGTGAATATTTTGTTTGTTTGGTTCCAGGTGCTATCTATAAATATAATTTTTTTCAGTGTTGTGTCTTGGCAGTTGCTGTCATTCAAATCCTGTTCTTCAATTTTCTTGCGTTTAATAAATGGCTTGTCAGGGTCATCATTTTTGCCTTTAACATTATTTTGAATCCTTTTTTGCAGATGAAAAGAAATATCTTTTACTGAGACAGACTTAGGTCCAGGAAAAACAAGGGCAACCTAAAGCAAAGAAGCTTAAGTTAGTAGTGTGCTGTTACGATCTTCAAAATGAATAAATTCTGACACTCAAAACTTTAAGAGAAACAAACATGTTGAATACTTGAGAAACAAGCATTAGGTTCTATAACAACCACTTGAGCCATTTGAAAGTTCATATGTTTCTTTAATACGTATGGTAAAGCTTTTGGCTCTTCCCTAGGATTTAAAAATCATAATATACTAGCTAGAAGTATTGCTTCAAAATAAGTTATTCACCTCTTGATAGAAGCCAAATTAGTTGTATCATGGATCAAAAAACTAAATACTGTAATATTTCACAGCATAAAAGACAAAGTACATGGTACTAGGTAAAAGAACCAATGAAAAGCACTCAATTAAATACAATTTTCACCTATATAATAAGCAGAGATAAAAAAAAAATACAGTCAATGCTGGTGAGGATATGGTGTTAAGTGCCTTTATAGCCATTAATGATGTCAGGTTTCAATAGTACAACTCTTCATGAAAGCAGTTTGGCACTTTAAATCAAGAGTCATGAAATATTCAGACCCTTTGGTTATTTCACTTTTGGGAATTTATCTTAATAAAATTATTGTAAATACAACTCACAATACCCAGACTATCTGTTAAAGTATATTTATTACAGTTAAAAATTAAAACTGAAAAATCTGACTTTCAAGGAAAAATTCTGTAAATTATGCTACCTTTCTTTCAGCATGTTTTTACTGAGACCTTACACACTGTTAGAGCCTGCAACGTCTGAACAGCTCCTGCCACAAAGCAGGTGCCCAATTAATATTTGTTAAATGAACAAATGTTGGTTAAATCATGTGTATTTTATCTCCCATACTTTTCTGTATTTCCCAAATTTTCTTTAATGAGCATATATCATTTTTAATATGAAAAAATAAGCATTATAAAAATAAAAGAAAAAATCTTGAATTTAAAAACTTCAGAGTTATAAAAGTTTCTCAAACATTTACAATGTGTGTCTATATTTCCCCTATGCCCAATAAGCAAAGTTCAGGACTTTGTAATTTTCTTGGACTGTAAGCATATCACATCTCTTTGTAGAACCTAGCACTGTATTCTATTCAAATGACATAAATGATACCTTGCTGACCAGAGAGGGAAACACAAATATATTCCTAGATCCAAAACTCAGAAATCATTTACAAACAACTTTCTATATAAACTCAACCAAAAAATAAATATATATTTATATTTATCCCATATATATTGATGGGAAAGGAAAAACTAAGTTCTGCCTAGAACAAATGAACACATTAATTTTTAATTATGTTTCCAGATTAACCACACCAACAAATGGTCTCCAAGAAACCTAGAAGGGTTTATATACATTTTTTAGCAAGTAAATTCAGAAAGGCGATGGAATTTAAAATTCTTTTTTAGATTCAATGCCAAGAGTTGTAAAAAATAAGCAGCCTACTTCATGGTCCTTTTCTTCATATTCTGGAATACAAGGATACGTGTAAATATTTACAAATTCAGGTGCTAATAGTTTTGCATGTATAGCAGTACTTTTGCCATCTGTTTCATTTGGATGTTTAATGATATCAATCTTCAGTGGAAGCTAAAATTAAAAAAAAAGACAAACACAATAGAAAAATTCTAACTTTTATGTTAAGAAAAATGACCTTCAAAGCTTAAATAACAAGCTCACACTAAGTTCCTATAAATATGATTTGAAAGGCATACTTTTCTAAACCAGAATATTAGGAATGCTAAGAGTCATAAAGCAAACCTAAATTTCTTCCTCAATATTGTTGATCATGTAATGAACAATTATTTCCAACTTATTTAACATAAAACCTGTTCTTTTTTTTGTTTAAAGATTTTATTTATTTATTAGAGAGAGAGAATGAGAGATAGAGAGCACGAGAGGGAAGAGGGTCAGAGGGAGAAGCAGACTCCCCGCCGAGCAGGGAGCCCGATGCGGGACTCGATCCCGGGACTCCAGGATCATGACCTGAGCCGAAGGCAGTCGCTTAACCAACTGAGCCACCCAGGCGCCCTAACATAAAATCTGTTCTTAAAGCAAAGCTTCAAGGCCATTTTCATTTAAGCTACAGAGGCACTGAGTCCAAGTCCTTGCATTTCAGTATCTGTGTCAAGGACATTTTTTATAATTCCTATAAACTTTAGGATTGTTAATTTTATGACACAATAAAAGGAAATATAAGTTTGGGCAAAAGCTTCACATCTAAAATTCAAGTCAAAATTTTATTCCCTATACATCCTTTGAGATCAAAGGTATTACCCTTCAAAGGGTTCACTCTTTGCTGCGAACATCATGATTCTCATCAGTGGCCTTTAACAGCACAAATGAAATTATCAATTGGAAAAGTAACAGAATAGGTCTAGGAGGTACACACTTTATATAAATATTAACTCTCTTTAAAATCATTTTGTCTATTTTCCTTAAAGTTTCATTATTTAATTGTTATGAATTACATCCTGCCTCTTTGCAAAAATAATATTCTCTTGCATTTTTTGAGTTAGATTTTTCTATTATTTCACTGACTTGTTTGATTTAGTTTCCTGTGTAACTCTTGTGCAAGTGCTGTAGTTAGCCATGATTATGAAAATGAAAGCTGAGTCACATCTCCCCCAAAATATATATGAGAAACTCTGAGATGGATTCTTCACTGCAGATTATAAGTGACTTACATATTATTACAAACACTTTTCCAGCTCCCACCCAACCCATTAACAGGCAGGATTCTAGGTATTTACCCCGGGGCAAGCTAAATTTATCCTGGAGTACAAAACTATTTTTCTTTTTTTAAAACAGCTTAAATAGGTAAAATTAGTATAATAAACTCCACATATTTAAAGTGTACAATATAATGAATTTTAACACCCTTGAATTCATCACCATAATCAAGATCATGAACATATCTGTCACTTCCAAAAGCCTTCTTGTGCCTCCATCCTTCCCCTTTCCCCATCAACTACCACCCGCAGTTCTTAGGTAATGACTGATCTGTTATCACTATAGGTTAGTTTGCATTTTCCAGGATTTTACATAAATGAAATCATATGGTATGTACTCTTTTCATCTGACAACTTTCACTTGGAATAATTATCCTGAGATTCATCCATATTGTTGTATCATTAATTCCAGAGCTGTTTTTTTAAAGGAGTAGTTGTTGCATGCTCCTGAATGATCCCAGCTGCATATACTTTGTCTTTCTGGATGAAAGGTATATATCCCAGAAGGGCCATAAAAATGTATCCCAAATAGTTTTCATTTTAGGGTTCCAAACCCCTTACCTCCTTCCCTCCCCACTTAGGCCTAGTGACCAATTAGGGCCAACTGCTTTAAATCATCAAACCAACTTCTAGTTATAGAAAATTTACCATTTAAGTAGGCAGTTCACAAATGATTTTACATCAGTCTACTTCTGGCTGAACTCTACATCAGAATTTCCTCATGATGCTCAGTCTCAGTTGACACTACATTCCCTTTCCCCAGGGTCTCTCAGTCCCAGATCAGCATTATCTTAGCCCAGGGAAGATAGGAAAGAAGAAAAAGAAAGCATATCATGATAAAGTATTCTATTACTAATAAAACTGACTTTCCTACAGGGCTGATGAGTAGAACTGAAAATTCCCAAGGTGACCATCAACATTTCTCATCAGCTGGCTATGTCTGAAGGGTATCATTTATATCAAGGACACAGGACTGAGGGTTATTCATGTATTTAAACGTCACATACCTTGCCTATTACGGACTAAATCCTATAGGTATAAGACAGTTATGCAAAATTTGTTCTCAAGAAGTATTCTTGGGACCCAGTCTAGCTACTTTAGTTCTCCCTGAGCAAGCCTGAAATTTCTGACACTATGAAACAAAAGCACAGACACAGATCAAATCATGGAAACATATGTTTGTGCTCTAGTTCACACATTTTAAAGAAAGATATTTCCTAAATAATGACAGGGTACAGAGTAACGCCAGAAAGTAGAGATGTTCTGTTTTCAAACATGAAGAACATCAATCTGTTCTCTAACACTTATATTTCCTACAGGAGATTTACCAAACCTTTCTGCCCAAATTTATCAAAATGCCATTAGCAGGAAGTCCTAAGTCTTTTCCTATGGGATCATCAACTTTCCCAAAGAGAGTCTTTTAAATTCTAGGACTCTAAAAAAGAGGAAGCTTTCTTTGACCTCATGATTTTTTTTGCTCTTTTAAAAATACCAAGAGCATCTTTTACTTTTACTCATGCATTTCTCATGACATTAAAAAAAAAATCATATTCTGCATGAAAAAATCAGTATTTATGAATTTATTCTGTAGATTAAAATTTAAAGCTTGGGAGGCACTTACTCATTATGTAGTCGTCTTCCCTTCCCAAGCTGGCTATCTAAAAGCAAATGCTGAATGATTTGTAAAAATAAAGTAAAAATTAGAAAAAAACTTTATAGAGCTTTTATTACTATTAATATATATTAACACACTGAGTTTTATATATGGTCATTAAAATATAAACACTTTTAAAAACTCTGCATGCTCCGGTAGGCCATTTAGAGTTGATCAAACACTTGGCATAGTGTTTTAAGTCACTTCTATTAAATAGTGGACATTAGATCACTGATTTGGAAAATAATCCTCTATTATTAAATTTCTGTGAAAATAAATTTCTATGAAAAGTCAACATGTTACTGACTTTTATTATTCTGATCTTCAATTCTTTTGAACACAATACATCTTAAGATAAAAGTTTTAAAGGGATATTCTCTTTTATGTGGCTATGATATGAACAGAACATTGAATAATTCTGTTTATACTTCAAAAACTATACTTTAAATGTAACGTTCTTACAAGATAACAGGAAACTTAAAGAAGATTATTTTCCTCAAGCTCTCAGTTTTTCTAAGGTAACTATGAAGCTGATTAGAGTCCATACTTATTTCTCTTGTCCAGTAAACTTTCCAATAGCTTCTAAGTGTGATTTTAGACCCCTGAGGAGACCCTGGACTTGCTAAGATGACATATAAACTAAACTGAAATTCAAGTAACAAAATATAAGTATTAAGGTATTTTACTTCAAATGTAAATGAATCTTAAAATCACCACATTAAATATTTTTAAATATAGTTTTGGCTTATTTTCTTACTAGCAAGTTCTAATGAGTCCATGTGTAGAGTTTAGTCTCTCCAAAGTCCTGACAGCAAATTTTATACATTATTTGATTTACTCCTAAAGTTCATGTCAATATTAGACAAGTTGACATATATGTAATAAATTCTTTGATTACATAGACATCATGGTTTACAGACCTTTTACCTACACAAGAGTAGTCTTGGTAAGCAACAAAACATATAAGGTAAGCAATCAATGCGTATCAATTTTTTAAAATCTGGCTTAAATCACTACAATTATAACATAGCCCAATGAGTAGGTCTTAGTTTTTTTGTTTTTTTTTAAATAGGCTCCATGCCCAGTGTGGAGCCCAACGTGGGGCTTGAGCTCACAACCCTGCAATTGAAACTTGAGCTGAAATCAAGAGTCAGACACCCAACCAACTGAGCCACTGGGCACCCCAGGTCTTAGTATTTTTAATTTTAGTTTAGTTTTGGTCACTGACATGAGCTCCATCTCCATGTAGGATGGGACTAAGCCTGTTCTACAGAAGCCCAAGCAAAAATCAATCCTAGTTCCTTTAGGATATGTTTTCTTAAAAAGAAGTCCAAGGTCCTGAGGTAGTTTTTGAAGTTCCTTCAGGCAATCTATACACTTGTCTCTTGTAGTATTCATGTTTATGCCACAGCTATGTTTTAGATGAATTATAATCATTAATGAAAAAGTAATTGATTTCTTTCAAAACAGTACCATTTAGCTCAGACCTAAGTGTTTTAGTAGTGTGTGTCTCTTTTTCCAGAGACAAGGAAAACAAATAGGTTTACCAGTCTGTAAGATTAAATTTTCTATTAATATTAGTCATTTCCATAATGATGCTACTTATCACACTTATCAATTCTATTAGAGCAGGTATATATGAGATGTCTTTTTAAATCCTACTTTCAGATAATTAAATTTCTTACCAACCTTCACAAGTGGCATCTGTTGAATAGGTACATTTTCAACTGGGACATAACATGTATAGCAATAGAACATTCTCGAACCACCACATTTGAGACATTTTGATCTTCCACTTCGTTGAGCTTTTTGAAGAACTTCTTGAGATGCTAAGCATAAGTTTTGAAGAGGATCTTCTGCAGCTATGGAAGTAGTTTGTGAGTGTTGTATTTCTACAAATTTTGAATTATTTTCTTCCTTTTCTTTGAGAAGTACAGGTGGGTTGAGAGACATTTTTCATTCAAACCAAAGTTTAACATCTATTTCTAAAACATAAATCATAGGTGCACTGCAAAAGAAAAAAAAAAAAGTGGGGGAGGGGTGGAATAAAGACAGGAAATATTTTATTCCTTGTCTCCACAAGGAAAATTACTCAATTTAATTCACAACTGCATACTGTTTTTAGTATTTATTAACAAGTATTAATAAGCTTTTTAAACCACCAAATTAACACAATTTAAAATACAAAATTAAGAAGCAATAAACTCAAAACAATAAAGACCCTTCTGAGTCATCCCCTCCATAAAAATAAAAAGGTGCTCTCTTAGAAAAACTATTTCAAATATAAAATTTAGGTACCAACAGTCCATTTTTCAGTGACTCTTATTTTGTTTTATATTAGGAATACAATGTTTTAATGTGAGTATCAGCCAGGAATGTATTCAACTCTGTAGGCTCTGACTTTAAACTGATGTTATATGATATCAAATCTCAACCTGAACCCTAATGAAAGTACAAGGTTCTAGTGAAATCAGTAAAATCTAGTTGGTTATGTTCTAAAAGACATATTCTCTGACTTAAATCACACGCACAAAAATATAACTAAACATCCATTAAAACAGGACAGGCATCTACTACTACCAATTACAATTTGTAAAATATCCCAAAAAGGTGAAATATATGCCCAGAAAAATAAAGTGTGATCTTATAAATTTAAAAATTTTACAGAGTAATGTTAATGTCCTCTCACTCAAAGATTTCATACCACTTTTTAAAAATATAATTCATTTAGAGTCTTCAGTTCTAGAGATAAAATAGTAAAATAACTTTCCCACTTAAATATTTTCTTCCAGGAAGAATGATGTCTGTCTAAACTGTTATTCAAATACTCTGTAAGCACAGTATCTTTTGAGGGAGAAAAGAGACTGGGGCCCTTTTGATTTGATATGCATTCCAGAGCTATAAAATGAGTCTCTCATTATAAAGCTTATGGCATTGTGGTGTTTAACTATGAGGCCCCAGGCACTTTGAGTACAAACACTGACAGGAGAAATGCTGTGACTGCAACAGGAAACTTTTTTGTGGTATCCCAAATAGAAAGTGAACAAAAAGTCCAGTGGAACATAATATACAACATAATTTACCAACAGGAAGTTAGTGATACTAATTTAATTACTCATCAAGAGTTTTTTATAGATTGTAAATCCCAGTAAGCTTGAGACCCAAATAAAAAGATGCAAAGAAAAAAGATGCTTGTTACTGAAGGAAAAAATAAAATATACTGGCCAAATTTATTCAAATTTACCAAGCTGTCACCTTTTCTTGAGTCTCAGATCCTTTTAAGATCATGTGAGTCTTGGACTTTATCTGCAGAAAATGCATACACAGACACAGTACTTTGTACACAATTTCAGATGGTTTGCAGATTTGTAGGCATTCATCTACAGATCTAGTAAAGAAATCCTGACTACGATCAAACAGTCATTCTAAGGACAGGAGCAGTTTTAAAAGTCTGGGAAGAGATCCTATTAGTCTCCAGAAATCAGAGCTACAAACCCCCTGTTGGGGAACCAGAGGTCAGCTGTCACAAGCCAATCGATGTCTCATTACTGCACTTAGGAAGGTAGTTAATTTGCACCAAGTCTTGGTTTGGGTTTGCTCTGGTGTTGCCTGAGGTCCTTACAGAGAAACATTTTTAGGTTGTGATAGTCTTGAGTTATCCCATCATGGGACTCATCCTAAAAAAGAAACGACTGGACTAATTCAACCTGACTCCATTTTCCTGGGTGTTCTAAGTTATTTAGGGGGTTTGCATATGCCACCAAAGGCCTCAGGCAATAATGGGGCTGAAGGACCCAGTTCCTGGGGATGTCGTGAAAGTCAATGTGCTTCCTGACATTCAATGGAAAACTACTGATGAGTTTTTCTAGGGCCCTCCAAGTGCATTCTGCCTCTGAAGTATTCCCCTATATTTTACTTGGCCTTCCATCCATAAAGCCAAAAGGACATTAGTGAAGCCTTATATAAATGTTCTTCCTCTACAAAAATCAAATGTAAACACCTATAAGGCAGTGAAAGGGAAATGTTTACGGCTCCTTTCCCTGCCTCACCTATACATTCTCCAGTGGATGTGGTGGCCACACACAGAAGAGGCCAGAAATAGTAAGTCATGGACAGCTCCGCCCAAAGGTCTCTGAAACCATATGACAAGGGCATCTGTCCTGACCTAGACAATAGCCTGCCTCAAATGTGTACAAATAGTTTGTTGCAAACGATGGTTCATAACCTTCAAACCATACTTAACATCAAATTCGTGCAGGGAATACAAGTGGAGTTGTGGGAGTTACTTAGAAAACATAAAAAGAATGTATTCCTAAAGAACTAATAAATATTTTTACCTTGATGATACATTCATCACTCTGCAACTTAGGTTGAAAACTAATTTTTTACTCCCCCTCTACCCTCTTTTCCCAAAACACCAATTACTCACCAAGTTCCATAAATTCTACCTTGCATATAATCCTCTATTTTTAGTCTCAAAGTCAGGACTCTACATGATCTACGGCAATCTCCTACATCTTTTTATGTTTGCCCACTTATTATTGGTTCCACATATTTGCATGGAAAAATCTGCTTTAGTCTGGAGTTGCCTTTTAGTGAAGCTATCCCTCCTAGCAATCAACTCTGCAAGAGCAGAATTCTTTACTGATCTCACATATCTCTCCCTGTGTCTTATACAGCAGGAGGAATTCAACAACCACTTATTAAATCAAAACCATTCTGAAAAAGAAAGCGTATGTATGCATCTCCCTACTGAAGGACCTGACAAACCACCTTGATGGGCCATCTGCAGCCTGGCACAAGTGGCAACATGGCAGATTTTTTTTTTTTCAAAACAATGATGTTTTAAAAACTCCAAGGTATAAGTCACCTCCAGATGGAATACTATATACAACTCCCCATACCATGTATTGTAGACCAATTCAGTACTAGATAAAACCCACTCCAAAATTTTTTTTCAAGTATTTTTAAGAACCTGGTCAGGTCACATAATATACACAGGTCCAACATTCATTTTTTAAAATCCAACGTGCCACCTTTTTCAAACAGGACCAATGGCCCCTCCCACATCACCCATCATTTGGTAGGCAGACTGTCTTGCCTTAGTTTTTCATGGTACACTAGGGTTTAGATAGAAATAATCCTTAAATGCTGTGGTTTTCACTCAAGCAGAGATTTCATCATCCAACTCCGTGAATTGGCATCTTAAACTATTAATATACTTCTTTACTTGTCCTACATTCCCAAGAAACAATTTAGACATAAGAACAGACTCCTTGGCTTATTATGTAACCACTATCTTAATATTTTAAATACACTGCATGGCGGTACTAAGCTGCTCCTTCTGTGATTACCAATTCCCCGCAAACCACTCCAAACACTAAAAAATATAGTTTCTAGGGGACTACCTGCCAGAACAGACTTTCCTTAGAGCGGAAACCACTGAAAAGGATTGTTAGGGCAGAAAAAAAGTTTTCTGAGGAAAAATTTGGAAGCCTTTTTCCCAAAGGGCACGCAGGATCCTAAAAACTGCAAGCGCTCGAGCACAGGGACCTGGGCCCCGCTCACAGGCGACACCCTGCACGACCTCCACTAGGGCCCGGCCAAGCAGCGTCCTCTCCCTGCAGTCGCACGTCTCCGGCCAGACCACTGGTCCGCAGAGGGGCTCGGAGACCTGCACCAGGGATCCGAGTGGGACTCAGACCTGCACTGCCCGCGGGTCCTCGCACAGCTCCACGCGTCTTCAGCTCCGCCCGAGCCTGAGGCGCGCGCCCGGCCGAGGTCGCGCTCGGGCACGGCGGAGCGCTTTCCGGGAGACACAGGAGGGAGGAGCCCGGCCGTTGCTAGGGCCGTTGCTAGAGCCTGGCGCCGCGCAGGTCCCGCGACGAAAGTAACGGGCGGGGAGGGACGCAGGGCGTGGTTAGAGGGGGAAGTCCTGCCTCAGCCTTTTGGCGGCCGGTGGTGTAGCCCTAGTCCTGGGAGACGTGATCCGAGAGCGAGGCCCGATCGGTGAGACTAGGCCTCACAGCCCGCCAGCCCTGGGCTGAGTTCCCTGCTGACCCTGGCGGAGGCCCCCTTAAATGGGACGCGGCTCTGGAAGTATACTCTCAAGGTGTAGTTGCAGTGAGTTGTGAAAAATGCCGATCCTACAGAACACTTTTCCATTTTACCTATTCCAGAATTATTTTAGTCGTGACAACTTGGTTCTGTTATTTTTTTTATGGCTATGTTAAGATGAGTACTAGTAGTAATGAAAGCTATCAGAAAAATTGTGTGTATCTTGATGCTTTGGTTTGCTTGAAAACTACACACACGTCGAGTTGGAACTACTTTGTGCACTTTTCCATTTTGGAATTAAGCATAGTATGTGGATAGATTGTAAAACCACTTTTCCTTGCCCCACCCCGAGGAAAATCCAAACCTAAGGAGTGCACTTCAAAACTGTGAGATTCAGAAACACAATGGCATTTGTATTTATTTGAATTTAGCCTGTGAGGACAGAAGTTTGCCCTAGAGGAGCTTAGGACATCAAGGTAAAATGGGTAGTACAGAAAACACAACATGACTAATAAATTGTAGGAATTTCACAAGAGCTCAGAATGGAGGGGTCAATGAAGGCTTATTGGTTGGACTTGAGTAAGGTTTTGGAGAATGATCATGGCTTAGAGCAGTGCTTTTAAAGGGGATTGTGTGGGACCCATTGGCGGAGGTCCCTTTTGTAAGCAAGGAAATATATTGAGTCAAAACACATTTAATTTTTTTTATTTTGTTAATTTTTTTACAATAAGCTCTAGGCCCAGTGTGGGACTTGAACTCACAACCTGAGATCAAAAGTTGCGAGCTCCACAGACTGAGCCAGTAGGTGCCCCCAAAACTACACATTTTAAAAAATGAATTAGTATAGTGTGAAAATGTCAGTGCCTGGCACTTGGGAAGGTTAAGTATTACTTCATGGAGTTTTTTGTTTTGTTTTAGATTTTATTTATTTATTTATTTGTTTGACAGAGAGAGAGAGAGTCCAAGCGGGGGGAGCAGTAGAGGGAGAGGGAGAAGCACTCTCTGCTGAGTGAGGAGCTGGATGCGGGGCTTGATCCCAGGACTTGGGTATCATGACCTGAGCTGAAGGCAGATGCTTAACCAACTGAGCCACCCAGGCGCCCCACTTTATGGAGTTTTAAATTACAGATGGTCCATGACTTAACATTGGTTTGATTTAAGACTTTTCAGCTTTATAATGGTGTGAAATCAACATGCATTCAGTAGAAACCATGCTTTGAGTTTTGACTTGGTATTTTCCTGAACTAGTGATATGTGGTATGAAACTCTCTTGTGATAATGGGCAGCCACATCAGCCAGGCCATCACAAGAGTAAACAACCAATGGACTTAAAACTCTTCTCTACCCATACAGTCATTCTGTTTGCCACTTTCAGTACAGTATTCAATTACATGAGATATTTAGCATTTGATTATGAAATAGGCTTTGTGTTAGATGATTTTGCCCAGTGGTAGGCTAACATAAGTATTCTGAGCACATTTAAAGCAGATTAGGCTAACCTAATTCAGTAGGTTAGGTGTATTATATGCATTTTCAATTTAGGATGGGTATATGGAAACATAACCCCATCATAAGTCAAGGAAGATCTCTGTGTGTGTGTGTGTGTGTGTGTGTGTGCGCGCGTGCGCACATCCTTGTGTCACGTTTATAAAATGTATTTCTTATTGTGTGTTTCTCCTTAAAAAGTTAGAAAGCCACTGCTTTAGGAAGAAAGATGAGCTTTCTGGGTAAGAACAATAACCATAGCAAAGTCTCCAAGCCAAGAATAAATAACTTACACCCTTTTCTTTTTTTAACAGCTTTAGTTTAGGTGTACAAATTACAAAAGCAAATGATGCTACTTATTAATTGAAGTGAGGTGAGTACTGGCTTACTATTGCTATGTAAGAAGTTACTCCAAAATATGGCTTACAACCACCTTTTTATTGAGTTCATGAATTGTGTGTTCAGGAGGGCACAGAGGGGCTGCTTTTCTCTGATAATTCAGCTTGGAAGTCTATGAATGCTAGCAGAGATCGTATGTGTAGCTTCTTCATGTGGTCTGAACTTCCTCGCAGGATGGCAGAGGGTAATTAGACTTCTTAGGTTAGGCCCAGTGCTCCAAAGCCAAGTGTTGCAATGAATAAGATAGAAACTACATGTTATTTTCTGACCTAGTCTCAAGGAGTAACACAGTATCACTTCTTGCACATTCTTTTGGTTATAAGTGTATTTTAAGGCCTGTTCAGATTATAGAAGAGGGGACATAGATAGATGCCACTTCTCAAAAGATTGTCAAAGAATTTGTGGCCATTTTTTAAAAACCACCATAATGAATTTACTACTGTCACAGACAACGGCAACATTTCAGTGGTTTAATACAATAAACTTTTATTTCTCACAGGAAATCCATTGAGGATGTACTAGTCAGATGAAACATTAGATTCGAGGATGCAGATTGTTTGTTTTTTGGATTTGGGGTTCTTTTTTTACAGTTTTAGTGGTTCTACTGTCTCCTAAGACTTGGGTCCAACAGCTTATCTGACAAAAAAGAAAGCGTGGAAAATCATACAAAAGCTTTCAGAGGTCATCCCTAAAAGTGACATATATCACTTTGCCCACATTCCAAAGGCTCCCGCTTTAGCTGCAAGCAAGCCTGGGAAATGTAGAGAAACATATACATATTGGTAAGCACCAACAGTTTGCCCTATTTTAGATTTTTCACCAAAACCCCATAGTCCCCAGTTCCTCCATTCTATTCTCAGTTCTTCTTTCAAAAGGAAAATTCTTTCAAGTCTTTTCAATATCTTTTCTGTTTTTTATTGTATATGTCGAAATATACTTACATTGCAATTTTTAATTGACAATTTCAGATATTATCCATTGACTTTCTCCTATGAAAGTCAGTGATTAAGCTCTTTTACAACACCACCCTCAGGTGTATGAACATTCCTTCTCTCTCTACCCCCACACGTTCTTCTTATCCCCTCATCTCTCAATATAGTGATATGCCAATTTTTGTTTAAATCAACATTTGTAAATATTATTTAACCCTGATATGTTGTGTTTCCATTATATTTCCTTATCATTCAATTAGAAATTTTTTCCAGTTTTCTCTATTATTTTTTCTGTGAGACATATTTTACTTAGAAATGGATTATTTAGGGCACCTGTATGTCTCAATTGGTTAAGCATCTGCCTTCGGCTCAGGTCATGATCTCAAAGTCCTGGGATGGGGTCCCACTTTGGGCTCCGGACTCCTTGCTCGGCCGGGAGCCTGCTTCTCCATCTCCCTCTGCCTACCATTCCCCCTGTGTGTGCTCTCTCTTCGTCAAATAAATAAATAAAATGTTAAAAAAAAGAAATGGATTATTTAATATTTAAGATTTTTCTAGATGTCTTTTTGTTGCTGTTTTCTCTTTTATTGCTCTTGTTGTCAGAGAACATACTCTGAATGATTTCAATTATTTGTAACTTTTGAGATTTGTCTTATGGTATGGCGTAGGTTCATCTTGGTAAATGTTCTATGTTCCATTAGTTTAAAAGAGTGTGGATTCTGTACTTGTAAGGTATAGTTGTTCTGTAAATGTCAATTAAGTTAAATTGATTGACTTAAGTATTGTTCAAATCTTTTATTTCCTTACTGATGTGTGTATGTGTGTGTGTGTGTGTGTGTACATACTTGATTTATCAATTACATCAATTAGGTGTTAAGATCTCTAACTGTAATTGTGGTTTTTGCCTATATTTCCCTTTAGTTTTATAAATTTCTGCTACATGTATTTCAAGGCCCTTTTATTAGATGCAAACACATTTAGCATTGGTAGATCTTCTTAATGAATTGACCTCTTATCACTATGAAATAACCTTATTTATGCCTGGTAATACTTCTTGTCTTGAAGTCTATCTTATCCAATATTAATGTTGACATAATAGTTTCTTATGATTAATAGGCGCATGGTTCTAGAATTTCCATTTTTTTTTTAGAATTTTTATTTCTCTTGAAATACCCCATCTCTTCATGCACCATAATCTAACCTATATTGTAAAATCTTTAACATATTTATAACAGATGCTGTAAAGTCCTTGTCTGCAAGTTACAACTGGGTTCTCAGTGAATTGGTTTGTATCAACTGTGCTTTCTCTTGATTACGGGTCCCATTTTACTTCTTGTTTGTATTCTTGTAATTGTTTTATTGTGAATTAGACATTATGTGGAAAAATTGTAGAGGATGACATGTAATTTAGTGTTATTTAGTCTTCAGAAAGCACAAGCCTATTACTCTCCTTGGCATTCAAAGTGAGATGTTGATCTTTTTATTCCTTCTAGGTTTGAGTTGAAATTTAGGGTTGGCTTCAGCTTTAATTGGATTGAGTTCACCTGTGACTAACCCAACTTCCAACTTCCCTCATCATAGCCAACTCATATCTCATCAATATTGAACTGGGAGAAGTTGGGACTGAAGTTTTTTTTTACATTTTTGCTTCACCTTTGGAGTCAACTCTGTCAGGGCCCCGGAACCCAAGTACCATAAGAATGTGTTGGCCCGAATAAGTTCTCTGTCTTTCCAGCCCCTCCTTGACTGCTGCTTTTTAGACAAAACTTGGAAGTGAGGCACAGGGGTCTGGGAAGGGATTGTTTGTCTGACTCATTTGTTTTTGTATTTGGGTGTCTTTCAGACTCCAGTTTGTTCCTCCAGCTCATGCCAACGGCTAAGGTCCAACTGATTTCTCTTCATCTTTGAGAAGTTACTGCACCGTGGCAGGCCAACACTTTCCTCAGTGGATGGTCAGAGCTCACTGCCGGGTAAGGAAGCTGCCAGAGCTTTATGCTCACTTATAAAGAGAATATTTCTTTTTGGATTTCTGGTCATTAAGGCTTCCAGGTAGGGAGGCTTCACAGGCTTGCAGTTGCACAGGGCTTCATGATTAAGTGGACCCCACACTTGGTTTAATGGTCTCATGTTACCATCTTAAAATTCTTAATTTTTGAACAAGGGACTCGGCAATGGTACAAATGATGTAGCCAGTCCTGCTTACTGGCACCCACTACTCTTCACCAACCTCATAGAAAAGTAAGATTTTTATTTTGTCTGGATTTCTTTTGTTGTTGCTAGGGGAGCATAGGTGTTTTGAATCCTTCTACATTATACTGAGAGCAGAAGTCCATTTAATTTATGCCTACCGCCTTTTAACATTTACCTTAGAGAACTTTGGGATTTTATATTGAAATTAGCTGGAGCTTTCTCATGGAAGTTTCACTTCCTTAATACATTTTTTTAATTTCCTTTAATTGAAATGTAGGTATTATTTCAATGGATAAAGAAGATATCTCACACACGCACACTCACACACACACACACACACACACACACACACATATCCTGGAATATTACACAGCCATGAAAACGATGAGATATTGCCATTTGCAACAACATGGATGGACCTAGAAGGTATTATACTAAGTGAAATAAATCAGACAGAGAAAGACAAAAACCATAGAATTTCACTTATATGTAGAATCTAAAAAGCAAAACAAATGAAAAAACAAACAAAAGCAGAACCAGAACTATAAAAACAGAGAACAAACTGATAGTTGCCAGAGTTAGGGGGTTGTGCAAAATGGGTGAAGAAGAATAGGAGCTACAGGCTTCTAGTGGTGTAATAAATAAGCCACAGGCATAAAAGGTCCGGCATAGAGAATATAGACGTGATATTGTGATAGTGCTGTATGGTGATAGATGGTAGCTACACTTACGGTGAGCAGAGCATAACCTATAGAGTTGTTGAATCACTATGTTGTACACCTGAAACTAATGTGATGTGTGTCAACTGTACTCAAATAAAAAAAAATTTTTTTAAATGTGGGTATTATTTTTAGTGCTTTGTACTAGAAATGGTTTGATAACCATTATAAGAAAAAAAGGCAACATTTAGATTGTTTTAATTAGCCTCTTTATAGTCCATGTATTTCTAAATATACTGATAGCTTCCTTCTAGCAAAACTACTACACTCACTCTCTCTGAAGATATTGTATCCTGAACATTTTTTTTTGTCTCTAAGCATTCTGTGCACACCATCTCTTATTTATTACCTTCTCAGTTTAGAGTCCCATGTTTTCCATTAAATTTTTTTGACAGCTCTATGCAGCTTTGCTTTTGAATACTTATTTTTATAATGATTGTCACATATACCTTTTATTTTGTTATTTGTTATTGTCTGTTACATATTTGCTTATATTCATCATATATTTTAACAGTATTAGAGAATGAGATATGCTCTTCAACCTCAAGTGTGTAGATATTTTTACAAAAATATGGTGATTTTGTAATCTTGATAATTTTATATATTGCTGTGAAATATGTATTTTAGTAAATTAAAATATACTACAATCTTTTCAGACATGTCAATATCAGATCATTAGGATATTCTGAATTCCTCTTTTTTTTTTTTTAAGATTTTATTTATTTGACAGAGAGATAGTGAGAGCAGGAACACAAGCAGGGGGAGTGGGAGAGGGAGAAGCAGGCTTCCTGCGGAGCAGGGAGCCTGAAGTGGGGCTCGATCCCAGGACCCCATTATCATGACCTGAGCCAAAGGTGGGTGCTTAAAGACTGAGCCACCCAGGCACCCCTGAATTCCTCTTATTTTTCCTTCTTCTAACTGGTTTTTCACTCTCTAGAATTGGTCTTACTATTCTTCTAAATAACTACATATTTCTCTGACATTTATCTACTCATTCCTTCATTAATTTATACATATAGCAAGTACTTATTATGCACTAACCCTGAGCTAGTCACTGTATGAAATTTTGACAGTTCAGCAGTGATTATACCATAGTTTCTATCCTCATATAGATATGAATCTGCTGTGTGTTACAATAGATAATCTTTTGGGGGAACAAGGAAGGCTTCCTAGAAAAAGTTACTTTTAATTTGATATTTAAAATAAGAGTTAAATAGGACAAGAAGGGATTGGAGGGAGAGGGTTTGGGACAGGGAACCTTCCAAGCAGAAGAAAGAATGTGTACACAGTCTCTAAGGCAAGGAAGAACAAGATGTGGTCTTGATTAAAATTAATTTGTCTAATGAAAGAATATGTTTTCAACTTATGAGAAAACTACTAATAAAAATGGTATTATTATTTATTACACTGAAACATTCAAATATTTAAATTATTTTCACCATGTCACTAGTGTGGCCTTTTAAATATGTCATCAGCAAGAGGGGCAAGTTACTATATTTTTGGCTCTGAATTTATTGTAGACACCATCCAAGATAGTCCAAAATATCTCAGAACTCTTGTAGGAATTTGAAATGAGGATATTCAAGAGGATTCATGTGGAGTTTTTTTCTAGGAGCAATATATAAGAGGGAAGCCTTTTATGGAATTTGGTTTAGAGGCTTGGGATTTAAACATTGATCTCTGTACCTTTCTAAAGTACAGGGACTTTACAAAGTGAATATTTTACAATGTCTTATGGCTCTGAAAATTATAACTTAAGTCCAGTATCATTTACTTAAGTAAATTATATGTAAACATCATAAACAGTCTGATTTTATGTTAATTGGAAATATTGATTTTACTTCATTAGAAAATGCAAAAACCTCCAAGAAACATTGAAGAATTCCTAAAGTTTCAAAATTGGGTGAGTAGAACATCTATTTTATGTGCGAATAAATCTTTTAAAATATCACTTGTGGAGGGGTGCCTGGGTGGCTCAAGTCGGTTAAGCGTCTGACTCTTGATTTTGGCTCAGGTCATGATCTCAGGGTTGTGAGATCGATTGAGCCCCTGCTTGGGATTGTCCCTCTGCCTCTCTCTTTCTCTCTCTCTCCCTCCCCCTCTCTAAAAAAATAAAAAATAAAAAAATAAAATATCAGTTGTGGAGATCTGGAAAAGACTTTAAAGTCTTTTAGGAAAAGATTTTAGGAATAGAAATTCAAAAAACTACATTTCAGTGTGGGAAATACTTATAAATATTTATCTCTTTTCAGTAGGCTCTATGTTGTAGCCTTTCCCTCTTAATATTCTGTTCTCTTTTTGACTTTGAGAAAATTCTAGTTTTATTTTTTATTTTTTTTCTTAAAGATTTTATTTATTTATTTGACAGAGAGAGACACAGTGAGAGAGGGAACACAAGCAGGGGGAGTGGGAGAGGGAGAAGCAGGCTTCCCACTGAGCAGGGAGCCCGATGTGGGACTCGATCCCAGGACCCTGGGATCATGAGCTGAGCTGAAGGCAGACGCTTAACGACTGAGCCACCCAGGCGCCCCGAGAAAATTCTAGTTTTATATCCTATCAGAAGAATTATACAAACATTTTAAATAATTTTGCTGATGTAAGGTGTTTGTCTAAATACACCTTAAAGACTATCCGATAGGGGCGCCTGGTGGCTCAGTTGTTAAGCGTCTGCCTTCAGCTCAGGTCATGATCGCAGCCAGGGTCTTGGGATCAAGCCTCACATCGGGCTCCCTGCTCAGTGGGAAGCCTGCTTCTCCCTCTCCCACTCCCCCCTGCTTGTGTTCCCTCTCTTGCTCTCTGTCAAAAAATAAATAAAAAATCTTTAAAAAAAAGACTATCTGATAATTATGAGTACTTACCTCATTTATCCATGTACCACAGCTTAGACTAACAGGTAGTTTGCAGAGGTGTTCAGTTTCCTTGATTGTTGAATCAGAGTGAAATATTCAAAATGTATTTTCATGTTGAAAGCTCCAGTTTCCATTATTATGAGTAATACTGACTTCTGGGGTTATTGGGCTTGCTACAAGCTTTCTCTTGGGTCTATACACTTTTGAGTCTGAAGGTCAGGTTTCTTTTGCATTGAAGAATGGCAAGAGGAACACCTGGGTGGCTCAGTCGGTTAAGCCTCTGCCTTTGGCTTGGGTCATGATCCCAGGATCCTGTGAAGGAGCCCTGCATGGGGCTCCCTGCTCAGCGGGGAGCCTGCTTCTCCCTCTGCCTGCCACTCCCCCTGCTTGTGCTCTGTCTCTCTCTCCCTCTCAAATAAATAAGTAAATAAAATCTTTAAAAAAAAAAAAAGAATGTCAAGAGCTAGGATAAAGATATTAGTGTGGAAAACAGAGAGAAAAGGAGGCTTTTTTTAATGAGGTGTGTACATTGGACTTTAAATAATTTGCACCTATTTATGCTTATATATAAACAGAATTTGCTATAACTAAAATGTTGAGAATAGAATTTCAAAAATATCTATTTTTAAACATCTATTTTCTGTTCTATGTTTAAATAATTTTTTTTTAATTTTTTAGAAAAGCACTGAGTTCCCTTTAGGAGCAAATAGAAAATGAAAATATTCCCAGTTTATAAGAGTTTATTTCAATTACTGTGGCAGAGCCTAATTTTTTAAACTACTCTTAGGACAAGCTTTTTGCAATTATTTTTATTTAAATAATGATGGAAATGTGCTGTAATCTAATCACAATGTTTGAGGTCTTTTAATGCCAAGGGAAAAGGATTATAGTTAAAATCAAGCCAAACTCAGCAAGTAATTATGGAGACATTTGGACTATACCATCATACATGTTTAAGAATCTATGATTTCAGATGAAAATTTCTAATTACTTGAATTGGAAAATGCATAATCACTCTGCTTAAGAATAATGCTAATCAAATCAAGATCATAGGTTTACGCCAGCCCTTCACCAAAGACAATAAAATCAAAATCAAAGCATATGTCTAATGGCCTGTAAGCAGCACTATCTTTGTATGCACTTATATTGATAGCCTTCAGTTTTTATCGGATGGCATTTGATAAAACAACATATATCCATTTGCACCATTTTATCATTTATAGGTTTATCTGTAAAATATTTTTTATTGTCTGGATTTCCCAAATACTTGTATTCTGTAATTACTTTTTTTAAGGTATGACTATGTCTATGCATTGCCAAGCTATTGGATATTTGAAAACATCCAGGAATAAAATGACTGGATATTTAATTTTTTGTTTGCTGGACAAAACTTTTGTCTAGAGGCACTGGTAAGAAGGTAATAATAACTTCCTCAAATTCATTCAAGAAATATTTTTGAGTACCTATTACATGCCAACCACATGAATAATTAGAATATATCAGTGAATAAAAATAGAAAAAGATCCCTACCTTCATGGAGCTGTCATTTTTTAGAAATGAGGCATATGATAAACAAACAAATGAGTAAAACAAAACAGAAATTAAAATACATTCTGAACTGCTTATGGCTTCCTGGAAAGCCTATCTATTTAATTTCCCTCTAAAATATAAAAGCAAAGGTACGTATGTGCATAGTGGTGTAGTGGTTAAGAACAGAGGCTCTGGTGTCAGATTGCCTATGCTCAGATCCCAGCTCTGCTACTAGCGAGCAGTAGACCAGTACCTGGAACCTACATGTTGGCTGTTAGTTTCTCACGTCTTATAATTTATCTTTTGTCATATCATCTAAAGCTGTCCATTTTGGCTGATTCCTACCATTTTTATCTTTCTTTTGTAATTTTAATATTTTATAACTTCTACTCCTATCTTTCCCCTCTTCCTTTTATTATAGTTCTGTGTACTTTTTTTTACCTTCAGTCATTTCACATTTATCTATTTGATCAATTCCCATATTCTCTTCCTGCTTCTTTTCCCTTTACTCCATCACCATTCTGTTTCTATTTTTATTTTTATAAAAATATTTTATATTTTTATATTTTTATAACAGCCTCTTGTTCCTTTTTTGTAATTTAATTTTTTTAATTTAATTTTTAATTAAAAATTTTTATTTAAAAATTTTATTTAAAAATTCTAATTTTTAATTTTTATATTTTTATATTTTTATAACAGCCTCTTGTTCCTTTTTTGTAATTTAATTTTTTTAGTTTAATTTAATTGTAATTTTTGTAATTTAATTTATTATGTTAGTCACCATACAATACATCATTTGTTTTTGTAGTGATCCACAATTCATTGTTTTCATATAACACCCAGTGCTCCATGCAGTACGTGCCCTCCTTAATACCCATCACTGGGTTAACCCATCCCCCAACCCCCCCCCCCCAAAACCCTCAGTTTCTTTCTCGGAGTCCATACTTTCTCATGGTTTGTCTCTCCACATCTTCCTTATCCATTCATCTGTTGAAGGGCATCTTGGCTCTTTCCACAGTTTGGCTATTGTAGACATTGCTGCTATGAACATAGGATTGCATATGGCCCTTCTTTTCACTACATCTGTGTCTTTGGGGTAAGTACCCGGAGGTGCAATTGCTGGGTCATAGGGTAGCTCTATTTCTAATTTTTTAAGGCACCTCCACACTGTTTTCCAAAATGGCTGTACCAACTTGCATTCCCACCAACAGTGTAAAAGGGTTCCCCTTTCTCCACAACCTCTCCAACATTTGTTGTTTCTTGCCTTGTCAATTTTTGCCATTCTAACTGTTGTAAGGTGGTATCTCAATGTGGTTTTGATTTGTATTTCCCTGATGGCTAATGATGATGAACATTTTTTCATGTGTCTGTTAGCCATTTGTATGTCTTCTTCAGAGAAGTGTCTGTTCATGTCATCTGCCCATTTTTTGACTTGATTATTTGTTTTTTGGCTGTTGAGTTTGAGAAGTTCTTTATAGATCTTGGAAATCAGCGCTTTGTCTGTAGTGTCATTTGCAAACATCTTCTCCCATTCTGTGGGTTGCCTCTTAGTTTTGTTGACTGTTTCCTTTGCTGTGCAGAAGCTTCTTATCTTGATGAAATCTCAAAAGTTCATTTTTGCTTTTGTTTCACTAGCTTTTGGAGATGTTACTTGAAAGAAGTTGTGGCCGATGTCAAAGAGGTTACTGCCTATGTTCTCCTCTAGGATTTTGATGGATTCCTGTCTCACATTGAGGTCTTTCATCCATTTTGAGTTTATCTTTGTGTATGGTGTTAGAGAATGGTCGAGTTTCATTCTTCTGTATATAGCTGTCCAGTTTTCCCAGCACCATTTATTGAAGAGACTGTCCTTTATCCATTGCATATTTTTTCCTGCTTTGTCGAAGATTATCTGACCATAGAGTTGAGGGTCCATATCTGGGCTCTCTATTCTGTTCCATTGGTCTATATGTCTGTTTTTGTGCCAGTACCATGCTTAGTGATCAGTGCTTTGTAATAGAGCTTGAAATCAGGCAACGTGATGCCCCCAGCTTTGTTTTTCTTTTTCAACATTTCCATGGCAAACAGCCTCTTGTTCCACCAGTGTTGCATTATTATCAATTCTCTTACTTATCTTATTCATTCATTCATTTAATGATTTTTATTCACTACCTACCAGGTTCCAGGTATTGTCCTGGACACTTGAGATACAACAATGAATAAATCAGAGAAAAATCCTTGCCATCATGGAATTTGCATCACCCTGCTTTTGCACTATTTCTCTTTAGTGGCACACTTTTTTAGTCCTTTTCAGTTCTTTAGGTACTGAAAAATTGAATTCTTTCCTTATTTACACATCACATTTGATCTTCCCTGTTATTTATTTCTTATTCTGTGTCTTGTTTTTCTGCTTTCATGTGACTTTTATCTAGAAATGCTTTAATTAATCTTCTCTCGGTGCATTGGTATCAATTTTCATTAACAAGTCTACTGCATTTGTAATCAAGACCTAGAGGGTACTCAGATTCCTACCGTGATTTTTCTCACAGAATCAAAGGTACTTTATGATAGAATAATTATTTCAATCCAATTTTCTTTATTTAGGGAACAGCCTGTTTGTTTGTTGTCTGTTTATTCATCTACCCATCCATCCATCCATCCATTTAAATACCTCCTTATATTAAAGCTTAAGGGAAGAAGAGCTAAAAGTCACTTCTTCTAACCCTAGTCATTCTTCATATTTCTAACCCTTTTTTTGGATACCTTGGCACTGTTTTTTAGGGCTTAGGTCATGGGTGAAGACCTAACCATATATTCAGTAAACAAAAAATCTCTTTTCAAACTTCAAGGTCTCTCTAGTGGCTACTAGGCTCAATCTCTAGTTGTGTACTAGCATGCAATATTTTGTGCTTCTGCCACTGCCAAAGTTTAATTGCCATAATAAAAGTAAACATAACAAGTACAGAGCCAGTTCTTGCTTCACTGACCTTTTAAATAAGATAAATGTTTTCCTGAAGTTATCACTGAAGACTATAGTACTATAATGGAGAATTTAACTCTTCAGGGAACAGAAATTTCCAATCCAATTCTTTTGTCTCTTTGGAATTAGAATACATTTGTTTTATGAATGAATATAATTGCTGTGGACTCTGGATGTTTAAACCCTAGTAGTGCTGATTTTCTCTCTGGCAGTAATGACTTCACTTTAGCCTGGCAGCTTGTCAGCTTATTGGCTACTCCTGTTTAGCTTCCCTAGGTCTGGCTACAGAAGTTACTTTCAGATGATATTCTATTCAAGGAGCAACTGGCTGAAGGCAAAATAGAAAGGAATAATAGAGGAAAGTAATTAGAGAAATGGAGGGGAAAGGCAGGTATGAGCTACTACAAGATCATCATCTGGTATCCATTTAATCATGCAGCCACAAAGAAGCCAGTAAAAGAATCAGGGCTTATTTACACATCACCTTCTTCATGTTAATGGCTTTGGGACACCAGTCAATCTCCTGATTACCTTGAGAAAGTACAGAAGACAGAGTCCAATCAGGCTTATAGGATTTCAGGATACTTTATTCACCTCGTACTATACCTCAGTATCTTAGGAATAAGGATTGTGATATCTCAAGTCTGGCATAAAGGATATATTTTCATAAAGGTATGTGTATATTGTAAAATCTTGTCAAATGCCATTTCTATTTTAGCCTCCCTCCTCTCTCCCAACACCCCTAACAATAGCAACGCATGACCCATAAGGACTGTGTTTCCGAATGTGGCTGTCATTCTGATTTGACAGTGTTTGTCTCCAGGGATTGTATCCTGTGATCATATCTGATTCTTCTGAGGCCTTTGTACTTTTTGGCACATAATACGCAAATTTTAATGGAGGAAAACTTCTCCAGGTGGTTGTGTCTTAAGGTACACATTTGTAGGATTTGGGAGATGGCACTTATGTATCAAAGTATATTCTTTTTTCTAAAATGACAGAGGGACCTAGATATCTGTGGGAAAGTTTTCCAGAATTAAAAGCTTTGTATTATTCAGGTACCTGTTATTATTAGAAAGCATAATTCATAAATCAGACATGTATGTTGGGGTTAGGAAGCCTTTAAAGGAAGAAAAAGGCAGGTGGAATAAACCAACACATGTTTATAATTCCTGATCTGCATACATTAGATTTATTCCCATTTAGCTGAATTCCCAGAGTAGCTCACCCAAATAATTAAGTTAAAATTAAATATTTAAAATTTTTAAATTATTTAAATTTAAAAATGACTTAGGTTATATTCTCTCACATTTTTTGCAGGATTATTGGCCAAGGGAAATCCATTTTGGAGATAGTGATGAATGGTTACACACTGTGAAGAAAATAAAAGAAGATAGTTCATTTACTTCAATTTATACACATCTGTGGGGAACTGTCCCTCGAATACATGATGCAGTCATGGCCATGGAGTCAAGATTAGGGGAATGTTCAGTCCTTTTGAAAAGCCATGCCTCTAAAATATTTGAGTGGAGGAGCATAATTTTTGATACAAGTAAACCTTATTTTTGTTGAGTAAAGTAATGGTCAGCTTTGTGTGTCTGTGTGCATTCTCATAAAGAATGAAATCCTAATGTATAAAATATCTGTGAACATAAACATTATTTTATTTTATTTTTAAAACTTCTTCATTTCCACAGAGTTCAATCAGGATTTTTAGTTGAACATGAACATGTGGATTTAATGAAAGTATTGTTAGAACAAAGCCTAAAATAGTTGTGAACTTTGTTAAGCTGCAGCGGAGGTGGCTGAGTATCAGGGAAACAGGGTTGGATCATTTCTATGTTGGTACTTGAGACGAGCAAGTCAGCAAGGGTCAGAACATAAGAACAGAAACACATAAAATCCAAAGTAAGTTGAGCTACGTGAACTAGGTTAGCTTGTAGGAAGTGTTTAGAATTCAGTGGTGAAAAACTGCAGATAGGAAAAAGCATATCTGCCGGTAATGATCTTTTTTACTTCTTTTCAGTATTTATATAACATTTTTTATCTAGTTGTATTTATTAATACTTCAGAATAGTTTTACATACTAATGGTGATTCTTGTATCATTCTTTATGTAATTGGCAAACTTATCATAATACAAGTCTTAAAAATGATAATATTAGTTGTACTTATAAAGTATTTTCTATGTATTAAATGCATTTAATTAGTTATATTACTTAAATATTTAATATCCTTTTTTGACCTTGGTTTTTCAAATTCTGAGAATTTGTTTATTATACTACTAATAAATTCACTACTGTTTTATTTTAAATTTTTGTATTGAATTTTTAATCACTTTTTAAATTTAAAAAATATTTTTGAAATCATATAAGCTATATATATTATATATAGAGAGAGAGATGGAGGGAGACAGAGAGTGAGCAAGCACAGGTGTGCACTTTCAAAAAAATAATTTTATACTCATTGTCCTCAATATGTAAATATCTGAGTTTGGACTCCAGTCTGGGTTACCTGACTTCAAAGTCGTCCCCCATAAACTTTCACTAGGCCTTGCTCCAAAGTACTGTACTTCGCTGAATTTAAGGTGACCATGAAACAACTAGACATAAGTAGCTGAGCTATTTGAAAAACATGGGCTTGTTCAGTAGGAAGGTATTGAGGTAAAATTTTAGATTTATGAGTAAGTACCAAAGATATATTAGTTGGAACATGAGATTTCTAAAAAGAGGAAACAGAAGATGCAATATTTATTCCTTCAACTAAGGGTATGCGTGTTCTAGCATTATGCTTATCAAAAGAGTTAGTTGATCTCCTTGAATAGTTTTATATATAATTTCTTTAAAGCATTTAAATATTTTTCACTTTAAAAGATATATATCTGTGTACATATATGTCTCATTCTTTTAAAGGTTCTAAAGGAAATTTGGAAAGATACAAGGCATTTCTAAGGAAGTACCATAGGGGAAAGAAGATAATGGTATGGTATTTGTTTTCATCTTCCTTGAAAAATTATATTTTCACAGAAAATTATTATAATTTCACAGATAAGCACTGATAGAATTTTTTTTAATTTTCTTGTTAGTCTTTTATTGTCTGTGTATCTATGTGTTTTTAAAATAGCTAGACTCACATTCTTCTTTACACACTCAATATTAGAATGTTGGCATTTTCACATTACTATAAATTACTTGAAGACTTAATTTAATGTATACATTGCAACCTCCAGTTATTTAATAATTTATAATAACCTATACTTAGTACTGCAGGTTCTATATCAGTCCTCTTCCTTTAGAAAAAATTAACAATTCTTTTTGATTATTTAGAATTGCTTTGTCAATTTTTAAAAAAAACTCTGATTTTTTTAATTAGAATTATAAAAGACTTTGAATTACTTTTAGAAACTTAATCCTTTTCAAAAATACATTCTAAAATTATATAATGTTAAAGCTATAAAGACTTTAAGTGCCACCAGTAGTCTATCCACCTCACTAAATGTTATTTTTCAAATTTCAAAATTACTTTATTTTTTCCTGATTATGACTAAAGTAGTCATTTTAGAAAATTAGAAGAAATAGATAAGCAGTAGAAAGGATAAGCACTCTAATTCTATCATTTATAGATAAATCGCATGTACGCCACTATCTAGTTTTTGCTTTCATTCTTTTATTTTATTTTAAAAAATAATTTAGAAAATTCAGAGTAAATTATGTATTTGTAATTCATTAAATGTATTATGAAATTTTCATTAATATATATTCTCCACCATCTTAAAAGTAAATTAATGTAATAGCCCTTTGGTTAGACATTTAGGTAGTTTTCATTATTCACTATTATTTACAAAGCTGTTGTGAACATATTTGGAACTAAAGATTGTGCTTGTCCATGATTATTTTCTTAACATAAATTTCCAGAAGTGGAGCCACATAGGCAAAGAAATGTGAAAATCTAAGTGTTTTGATACGTATTGCCAAATTGTTCTCTAGAAAGGCAGTACCAATTTATAACAATATAACAACAATTTGTGATTGATCTCTTATCCATTTCCTTGTCAACATTTAATACTATATTTTTTGTTGTTTGCACAGTTGATAAGCATAAATGTTATCAATTGCGTATGTTTTACTAAGGAAGTTGATACTTTAGGTTTTTCTTAGTCTTTGTGTTTCTTTTACTGTGAATTGCCTATTTATGAAATTTGGCCTTTTTTTTTTTTGGCTGTTCTTTTTTTTATTTCTAAGAGCTGTTTATGCTTTAAAAATATTAACCCTTTCAGTAATATGTATTTCTTTGTTGCCTTTTAAAAGGGTTTTTGTTATATAGAATTTTACATTTTTATGAATCTATAATTTTCTTCTGAAGTTTTCTGCCTTTAGTGCCATATTTAAAAAGACTTTCTTTGTATATATGTGTGTGTGTATATATATGTGTGTGTATATATGTGTGTATATGTGTGTATGTGTGTGTATGTGTGTGTGCATATGTATGTGTGTGCGTGTATATGTGTGTGTGTGTGTATATATATATATATGTATATATACATTTGTTCTTTGGATGTTTGGCAAAAGTCAACTATGCACTTCAGTTGATTTGATTATTATTTATATTTTCCAGAGGGGAAGAGGTAGGTCGGTAACAAAGCTGTGTGGAAGTTGACAGATTTCATAAATATCAACTTGGGTAGATTGTCAAAACGTAATATTGAGTGAAAAAAAGTGAATTACTAAATAATATGTACAGTTGATACCATTTCTTTAAATTTTATTTGTTTATTTTTTAAAATTTTATTTATTTATTTGACAGCGAGAGAGGGAACACAAGCAGGGTGAGTGGGAGAGGTAGAAGCAGACTTCCCGTGGAGCAGGGAGCCCAATGCAAGGCTCAATCCCAGGACCCTGGGATCATGACCTGAGCCGAAGGCAGACGCTTAACAACTGAGCCACCCAGGCACCCCCCATTTCTTTAAATTTTTAATAGCACACAAGAAATGTTTATATTCTTTAAATATATGTACACATATATGTCAAAGCATGTTAATGGAATGGAAGGGATGCAAACCAAACAAATAATAGTGACTCTTTCAAGGAAGGGGAACACATGAATAGAACTATAGAGATTATGGTAAAAAAGGGGAATCTGAACTTTATACTTTATTATATAAATTTCACATTTTATTTTATAACATAGTCATAAGCAAATACTAAAATGTCAACAGTAATCCATTCTAGGTTGTGGGAACATGAAAACACTGGTAATTTTTTTTTTTAATTTTCAAGCGAATTTCAAAAATTCTGACTTTTGAATTTTATCAGATAACTTTCGAGGATCTATTGCAATGACCTATAGATGAGTTATACTAACAAAAGTTTTAATTATTTATATTGCTAAATGTGTTTTATTGATTTTTTTATTTGAACTTTAACACATATTATTTATATTTTTGTGGTATCTTTTCCAGGTTGTATGATCAAGAACTAGTTTTGTGTTACTATTACTGTGCTCTTTGAAAACTTGCAGTGTTTCCTTGCTTCCTGCAGAATAAAGCCAGGACTTTGAGATTAACATTAACATCTTTCTAAATCTGACCCCGTCCTCATTGATTGATGATATCTGTAGCTCTCAAGCATACAGCCTTCTTTCTTATCACAATTAATTTCATTTTCCCTAAATAATCTTTCTTTTTTTATTCCTTTGCATACTTTTTTTAAATGACAATAATGTCATTCTCTTTCTGTTAGCAATGTTATCATTCTTTCAAATTTGTTTCCTATGTCAATTCCTCTATAATGTGTGTTTTGTATAATGTGTGTGTGTATGTGTATGATTTGCCTGTGAGCTTAGTTATTTCTGGGAGAAGTGGGGATGTGGAAATTAATAAATTTATCAACATGTCTGGATGATCAAAAACTAATGTATACAGAAGGCTCCTTATTCTCTGTGCAAAGTAGTATGGACATAGAGATGCACCACCCAGATTCCCCGTCAAGGAAGAATCTGTTGTCCTAGCTGCTAAGAGTGCTGTTAGTGGGGCACTCTTCAGCTGTCAGCCCCTTTGGGGTTGCTTCACCTACAGAGAACTTCTTCCAAAGACATACCCTTCCAGGAACCACCTACATCCAGTGACTGATCAAGTTGGTGGCAGAAAGGCCTGGCTCTTTCAACCCAATGCAGGACAACTATGATAGGCCCTTTCAGCTCTAGAGCCCTTTTTAGAGTCCACTGAGGCTGTTAGACTTGTATCATAGCTGATTTCTCCAACTTCCCAATTATGCCTCTCCCCTTGCCTTCTGTAGATGTTGATCCCGAAGGCACTCCCAGCAGACATTCTGAATACTAAACTCCACCTCAGAGTCTATTTCTCAGTGAACCAAAAGTGCAATAAGTAGTTTTATATTTCTATTATAGCCCTTATCTCTCTGTTTTGTTTGTATATGTATCTGATTCCCCTGTTGAACTATGACTAGCCTGAGGGCAAGGACCATCTTTGTATTCCTACCATCTAGCACAGTGACAGCATTCTAGGCTTCAATAGGAGATAGACACACACACACACACACACACACACACAATTAACTGAACAAATTTACAAAATATAAAAATTTAATTTAGAATTTTAAACATTTTATTTAAATGTTTTCCAGCTTTCACATGAAATGGAGACAAAGAAGACTGTAGAGGTATTTAAAATTTCTGTTATATAAGATTATGTATCAGAAGTATTATATAGAAATAAAGAATGTTTACAATAATATAGATGTAGCTATAAATATAGATGGGGCTCTAAGAGAGAGAGGTGGGAACAGACATAGAAGCTTTCTCCTTCTGCCTAATCTTTCTTTATGGGTAGTCTAGCTAAAATTCTTGATCATTTGAGTTGTCAAAGTTGGTTCTGAAATATGATTTTGTTTTGCTTTTGGATTTGGCATATGAATATGCCAGGACTCTTAATTTGAGAGAATCAGAAAATAGGAAGATTTTTTTTAAAGTAGGATAAATAGTTTTCACTTATTTTAATAAATGGAAGTAAAATAATTATGTTAATGAGTTATGGTTAAATATTTATCTGTCTTCTGTAGTCCTGTGAGACAACTTTACTGGAAAGGGTAAAGTAATGACTGTTGTGTGATATTTCCCTCTTTCTAGGGTTGCAGCTTCTCAGGATTCAAAACAAATGAGCTTACTCAACTACCCAGACATTTGGATGCTGAACGAATTTATCTTTTTATTTTAAAAGCCCATAACTTTGATGTACGTAAACATTTTTATTGTATGATACATTTTGAGAATATGATTTCATGAATCAGACTTTTATTTAAAGCTATGACAAATTAGGTGATAAGCATGATTGAATTTTGAGGGCCTTAAGTCTGGCAGGAAAAGACCAGTGATGTTTAATGCTTTGATCACCAGAAAAGAATGTATTAGATTCTGTGTTACTGTCTCAGGGGTCTGAGGTTGCTTCTGTGCATTGTCTTGGCATATGACTGTAACGAGTGTTTCCCCGTCCCTCTGCCTGCTTTATCAGCTCAAGAGATTTTAGTCTGCTTATTTTGACCCCTTCTCTACAACACCACCTTTTTCCAAGTGTCTGGGGAATTTTTGAGTAGTATCCCTATAAGATAGCAAATTGAAAAACTGCAGGCATAGGACAGTAACTAGATCATTGCCCATTGCTTTGCCCAGGGTAGGATGAGAGTTGGGTGGTACCTGATATTGATTTCCCCTTTAAATATTAGGTGGTCACCCACCAGGGTTTCTATTTCTTGCAGGCTTCAACAGTGTTCCTTATACCCCAGGCAGATTCCTTCCAGATAGTTCTCTGGGATGGAGTTGGCCTTGGAATTACCTAAACCCCTCCTAGAAGGGGGCCAAGTCCATCCCTCACCTCCCCATCCTTCACCTCTCCATCCTTCCCCATTCCTCACTTCCAGCCTTCCTGTGCCTCTTCATTTCTCAACACAAAATCCCTGTTATTTTCTCTCCTACTATAGTTCATCAGAAAGAGCATAATCCACCATTAAACCCCTTTTTTTCACTCTCTTCAAGATGCAGTGTTCCAAGTAGTAGAGTGTGATTGACTGTTTACCCCTCAGTTAGGCAAGTACAGAGCACCTCAATTGACAATTATATCTAGAATGATTCAGTAATGATACTCTCTCTTATTTTCCATACTGATAACAAATGTTTTTCAATTCTCTTTTATATTTTGTGGGATTTTGGTGAGAGTAAAGGCTTAGTCTGCCCCCTTTATATGATCACCTGATCCCATTTTTGTAGAGAAAAACTATAGATGCTAATTGTAGTTATGCCTGGATCATGAGCCTATTTATTTGTTTCTCTGACTATATTTTCACAATTTCCTTGGGAGAAAGGTTTTATTGTTATAAAAAGAAATTGATAAATTATTGTTGTTAAAATAAGTTTATAAATGTTCTGGGTAATCTATAATATTCTAACATTCCATGTTCTAAGATGGTACTGTATTTTAAATATGGATGCATGTACATCTAACACAAATCATAAGGCAATCACATAAATAAGGCATAGATGTACAGCTGTGAGGAATTATTAATATGGTTAATTTAGAGGATACTGGCATTATTGAAAGAAATAGGGAAGTGAGTGGAAGTAGATATGGGTAGGGGGTGGGTGGAGTATGACAAGCATCTGGGTATATCTGGGCATAGATACCAGTGTTTTATTTGTTAATACCCCTACCTGATTTCAAAAAAAGAATTTAAATTGGCTTACTATAGCATGTACAATGCAATGGCATTGAAATAAATAGATAATGAAATTAGAGTGAAGAGAATATAAGTGTAGGAAAATAAAAATATCAGGAAAGGTTATTTCATAGAAATGCTTATAGTAACAGACCAAGAGATTGAACTTATGGATCTGAAACTTGGAAAGAGAAGGTTATAGGTTTACTGTTACATGAATGAAGGTATGGGAATCCATGGAATTGATGAATTCACCTAAACCCATCAAAACACATTCCTGTACATACAGTCATTATCCTCTGTATCACCCAGAACAGAACTGTGGCTACAGGTGATGCTCAGTAAAAATTTTATTGAATTAAAATGAGTGAAAAATGACCTATATTACAAATAAGAGGAGCAAGCTAAGCCACAGGCATACTGATATACAGGAATAGAAATTCAAGAGAAAATTAGAAGTAATTTTATCCAACCTAGACTCAATGTTAGAACCAAGTTAGATAATCTAAGTTTTAAGGTATGTTTACATTTACTGGACTCAAAAAAGTATCACAAAGTCGGGAGGGGAGAGGAGAGAACCATTTAACTTTTTAAACTGGATTTTGGGCTTTTTAGCCAATTTTAATTTTTTGGTTGTTTTGACTAAATATTGATACACTTTAAAGAATTTGAAATTTTACTGAAAAAGGAAGTTAGTGATACTAAACACAACCAAACTTAGAAACAATTATGGAGTTAGTGTATAATTAAAAGCATCTTTGCTTGAAATTTGCAAATAATTTAAACAATTATTTTCCCCCATATTTCAATTTTCTACTTTTCTCTTTATGTATTTCACAAATGTTCTTTGTAATGAAAAAATACTAAATCTAAGCTGTTAAGTACTAAGTACTAAATTGAAGCTGTTACCAATATACTCCATATTATAATTAGTGGCCTATGGAAGAGAAGTGCCCCCACAGAATATGTAAGTAATCTTTTTGGTATAAAAGTCTGCATGATGTCCTTTTTGTAGACATGTGTTGAGGAACAGGAATTCATACCTATGGATTTCATTAAAGTAAGTCTTGAACTCTATTGAATCTAGTATTTAAAAACTTTTAGTAAATAAATAAGATAAAAATGATCTACTGAATGTGGCTATTCAAACCAAGATTTACCTTATGTGACAATTTTTTATCACTTTCTTTAAGATTACACTCTGTTTGGATGGAGTCTAGACTTATGATGGGGTTTGTTGGGATAGAATTCAAAGATATGTCTTTAGAAATTATAGCATGTACCTTGGAGATTGCTGTTCTTTGTCTAGCCTACACTGTCATTTCAATAGTTACTAGGCACATGTAATTGTTGAGTATATGAAATGTGGTTAGTGTGACTGATGAATTTTATTTTTTAATTTATATATAAATTTTAAAACTAATAGTTGATTCAGTTATTGAAAACTTTCAATTATGGTTGGAGCAAAATCACAACTATGTATTTATGAAGTCTGAATACTGATCTAGTATTTATGATGAAAATTTATTGTTCAAATTGAGATGTGCTGTAAGTATAAAATATATACAATATTTGAAAGACCTATTCCCACAAAAGAATGCAAAATATTTCATTAAGAGTTTAATGCCCATATGTTGAAATGATAACATTTTAAATATATTTGATTTAATAAATTTTATCCTTAAAATTAATTTCACTTTTTATTTTTACAAAGTGGCTACTAGAAAATTTAATATTATATATATATGGCACAATTAAATTTCTTTTGAAAAATGCTAGTCTATAACCACTGAATACTTTTTATAAAGCCTATTTGCATTAAAATGTTTTATAATGGACTTTAATTTGACCTCCATGCATCTTTTGTTCCATAGGAAAAGGTTTTCAAAATCTGGAAGACCCATTTTCTCTCAGAAGCCTCTATTGCTCTTTTACATGATTCCTTTTGGTGGTGGTTTCTGCATAAATTTAAGGTATAATGTTATTTTTTAAACTTCTTTTTTTAAGTTGATTTGTGGCACAGTTAATTTTTTAGTAGAGGTGGCACTAGTACAAAAAATATTTTTCTAGATCCTTTCACAGAACTTGGACTTTTAGTATTCCACATATGTTAGAAATCCTGTTTAAAATCTAGAGTTCTTTCAGAGGAGTTAAAACTTCAATATATTTCAAAGATCCTGAGTCTTCATTAATCAGAAAAAGATCAGTGAAATCAAGCAGTGTAATGAATAATAAAGTTGTAGATTAACTTAGTACTATGATGTGCTGACAAACAGCTAAACAGAAAACCCACTGCAAATCAGTGACATTGAATGAAGTTTCATTTGGAAAATAGTCTACAGAGCAGATGGAGAAAGGGTCTTTACTTGATTCGGAAAGGTAAAATACTCTGATTAGGATTAAGAAAAAAAAGACATCTGGTTATTTGGGAAACGTATCTGGAAAACAATAAGAGAATGGAAATAAGCAGCACATGAGTCTTATGGTAGAGAATATGTGAGCCCGGAAAAAGTGGTGAATACCACACTTATTGTGGTATTGTGTGGCTTCTGGATCTGGAGAGTGGAAGATAAGAGCAACCCCAGGGATCACAGTCTAAGCCTTAAGAAGGTGTGCCACCCCATCAAGGAAGCCTGAAAATAGACTCCACTCTCCACCTTTCCCCAGCTCAAATTACTCACACAAATCTGCTTATGGATTGTCACAGGAATTTTACACCATGAAGAAATTGGTACAAACCATTCAGTTGGTGCTTTATGTTAGAATAAACTATAGGTTAGACTAACTCTAGGTTAAGAGTATCTGTCCTGTATTTCTGATACTGTTAGGAGCTCTGGATGAAGCATAGGAAATGGTATATATCAGTAATACAAAGATAATTGCTGAGGGAAATTTGTGAGATAAGGAGTTTCATTACCTGAAATTTCTTTCTTTAGATCTGGATCCTGAATTTATGTTTTTCCATGAAAACAGAGAAACATTACATTCCCACTTAAATCTGTTGAGATTATATATAACAAGTTTTTGAAGGAAACATAATTTAGCAGTGTTCTAGTTATTTTTTTTTGTCAGGCAATAATAGTATTTTATTGCTTTGAACAAACACAGACTTAACACAAAAATATTAATGACTCACTATATTTATAACTTTATTTTTGGAATAACAAGGAATTAGAATTTTTTATCATTTCCTTTTTTTTTTTTTAAGTAGGCTCCATGCCCAGCAGGGAGCCCAGTCTGGGGCTTGAACTCACAACCTTGAGATCAAGACCTGAGCTGAGATTAGAAGTTGGATGCCTAACCAACTGAGCCACCCAGGTGCCCCTAGAATTTTTTATCTTTAATTAAACTATTCTGTAGAAACTAGCTTTCTGAAATTAAAATGTAATAATTTAGTAATAATTTTAAAACATTATAATTTAATAAGATTTCTAGTGTCATGATATTTGACATGTTTTGAGAAGCAATATATTCAACTGGATCAGTGTTCTGCTAGTGTTCTGGGGAACTGAAAGGGGCAATTTGGGGGTCCAGATCAAATTGAAGCAGACTTTCCATTATTTAACTAGAACTCTTCCTCTTTCCTCTGTTTAGTTCATTGCATTTTATCTATGATTTTATTTCTAAGAGGGTTTATTGTTAAATATATATATGACACATATAAATATATATGTTAAAATGGATGCAAAATACATAAGTTCTGTCTACTTTGGAAGAATAAATAGTACTGGTTTTATACCTGGAATATAGTAAAACCATGAACCACTTGTTCAATTTAGTTACCAAAAGTATAATATGAAAAAATATATAATCATATTCCAGAATATAGCATGCTTCAGTATGGTAGCTCTAAAAGTTATTTCAGTAATTGTTATATGATTAATATAAAACCAAATTTCCTTTATTTATTGCCCATGATTTAGTGATAACTTGGTCTAGTAGAAAAAATACTGAAGTTGGATCCAGAAAACTAGAATTTAAATCTTGTTTTCCCAAGTAGTTATTTTGAGACTTTGGGCTAGTCAAAAAATCACTCTGAGCTTCACTTATCTCTAAAAAACAAAACAGGTAGAAAACATATACCCTGCTTTTTTTCCCTAGGGTTGTTGTATTAAAAGTGACATGAATAAGAAGACACCTAGTAAACTATGAAATGCTATATAAATGTAATATGAGATTCAATATAATAGAGTTAAGAGATCTGGCTTTCAAAAACAAGTTTACCCAGTTAGTAAATGATGTGACCTAGAATAGTTATTTACCTCTCTAAATCTTTCATAAAATAAAAAAATCACCTACTTTACATGTTTGTTGGGTTAAATGAGAAAGTGCATGTAAAGTTGTTTGTTTATATGGAACTACATATATAGTAAGTGTTCAGTGGATGTATCTATCATCACCATCATCATTGTTGTTATTATTGTTACTATTATTATTATTATATTTTTAGAACACAGTGTTCCAAAAATTGCTGGCCAATGTATAGACTAATGACAAAAGTTTCCCTGATGATGTTTGACTAGAAGAATTTTATTGTTGTAATAGTAATGATACTTATGTAAAAGTAATGATATTTCAATATGCTTAATGTTTTTAAAAATTGCCCTTGAGACTCGGGCTTCCAAAAAGATTCAGAAAGCTGGAAAGCACATCATTCCCACCCATATAACAACAAAGAAAAGCCATATAACCTATAAAATTAACAACTTTTTTGAACTCATCATATAGAGTAGATTTCAAAACAAAGAATGTTGCCAGGGGAAAAAGAGAGTAATTGTATGATGATAAAGTGGTTGATTCATCAGTATAACATAACAATCCTAAATATATATGCACCTAATAAAAATGCTTTGAAACACATTTAATAAAAACTTTTAAAACTTCAGGATAAATGGGAAAATTCATAAGTACACTTAGGTGTTTCAATACCTCATTCTCAATAATTGGTAGACTATACAGAAAACCAATAATGATATAGAAGACTTGAGCAATACTGTCAACCAGCTTAATTGATCTAATTTGACATTTATTAAATATTCCTCCCAACAACAACAGAACACATTAAATATTTACCAAGTACTTTCTGGGCTAGGAAAACATCCTAATAAATTTAAAACAATTCAAGTCAAACACAGTATGTTTTCAGACCAAAATGGAATTATATTATAAATGAATCAACAGAAAGCTATCCAGAAAATCCTCAAATATTTGGAAACTAAATAACATATTTCTCAATAACTATGGGTCAAACCAGAAATCAATAGAGAAATTGGAAAGTATTTTGAATTTAATGAAAATACACATTAAAATTTGTGGGATGTGGGGTGCCTGGGTGGCTCAGCCGGTTAAGAATCTGCCTTTGGCTCAGGTCATGATCTCTGGGTCCTGGGATCAGGCCCTGCATCAGGCTCCCTGGTCAGTGGGAGTCTGCTTCTCCCTCTGCCCCTCCCCCACTGCTCATGCATTCACTCTCTCTCTCTTTCAAATAAATAAATAATTATCTTTTAAAAATATAAAATAAAATTTGTGGGATGTAACTCAAGCAGTATTTAGAAATTTAGAGGACTAAAATAACTATATTAGAAATAAGTAAAGTTCTCAAAAACTGTGACCTCAGCTTCTATCATAAGAAACTAGAAAAAGAGGAATAAAATAAACCCAAAATGAGCAGAAGAAAGGAAATAATAAAGATCAGAGAGGCAACTAATAAAAGGAAAAACTGAAAAACAAAGAAGGAATTAGAGAAAATCAATGAAGCCAAAAGCCGGTCCTTCAGGAATCCTAAAAACAAGGTGATTGCAGAGGAATTGGAAACCTATGTTTCACAGACAGTAAGCATAGCAGAAATAAAACCCAGATACCGCTTAACACTTGACTTAATTGACTCAAACCCCTAGAGGCTAACAGAAGAAGAAGCACACCTATTTCCAAGCATAAATACCTTAGTTTTTACTGTCCTATGAAGATGTCCACGTCTCAAACAGAAATTACAAAATACATGAAAAAGGAATGGAATTGATGAGTTGTTAGGTATGAAAATGTTCACTTAACAAGATAATGCCAGATTGTTTCCAAACTGGGTGTACAAATTAATACTCCCATCATTAATGTATAAGAGTTCCTAAATAACCAAAGGTCAAAGAAGAAATCACAAGAGAAATTATAAAATACCATGAGACAAATGAAAACAAAAACACAACATAACAAAACTTATGAGATGTCGTAAAAGCAATGCTAAGAGAAAAATTTATAGCTGTAAACACATTTTAAAACAATATCTCAAATCAACAACCTAACTTTACACATTAAGGAACTAGAAAAAGAAGAACAAATTAAACCCTAAACTAGCAGAAAGAATGATATAATAAAGATTAGAATGGAGACAAAATAGAGAATAGAAAAACAATAGAGAAAGTCAACAAAACCAAAAGTTAGTTCTTTGAGAAGATCAACAAAATTGACAAAACTTCAGTTAGATTGACTAAGAAAAAAACAAAGGACTCAAATTACTAAGATCAGAAATGAAGGTGGGAACATTACTATCACCAAAGAAATAAAAAGGATTATAAGAATACTATGAACAAATGTATGATAACAAAATTGGATAACCTATATGGAAATGGACAAATTCCTAGAAACGTGCCATTTTCCAAAACTAAATCGTGAAGAAATAAACAATCTGAGTAGACCTATAACTAACAGGTAAGGAGATTGAATCAGTTATCAGAAACCTCCCAACAAAGAAAAGCCCTCTACCAGATGGCTTCACTGATGAATTCTAGCAACATAATTAATACTAATCTTCTCAAACTCTTCCAAACAATCGAAGACAAGGGAACATTTCCTAACTTATTCTATGAGCCCAGCATTTCCCTGATACCAAAGCCAAAGATACTATAAGAGACAAATCTACACACCAATATCCTCTTTGTTGAATATCGATGCAAAAATCCTCAACAAACCACTAGCAAGC